TGCTGTATTACAGTCGTTTTGGTCGGTACATCACTGAACAAACAGGTGAAGTTGTCGACAAGGTTGATTACATCCTGTCGATGTTCAGCAGGTAAATGTAATAACTGGGACGGCAACTCTGCTATCGCCTCTGAATTAGGGAGTCGAGTGCCTAACTGGACTGGGTGACGCGGACCCATAAATTTAGCAGATAGCACCGACGTCGGCAGCAACGCCAGTACCCAATCCCCAGGATGAAAACAGCGAGCCACAGCAGAACGGTCATAGTGGCGCTTCATCACTCTCTGTGAACTAACTAAGGACTGTTTAGCGTGTGCGTTCGCGATGTGTAGCCGCTCACGGAAGTGGCTGACATAATCCAATACATTACTGACCGGCGACGATTTGAGCGACATAAACTGGTCATGCAACGTTTTAAGCGGGCCACGGGGGGTATGCCCAAACACGAGCTGAGCAGGGCTAAAGCCCAAAGACTCCTGAACGGCTTCACGTGCTGCAAACAAAACAAATGGAACCCCTTCATCCCCATCCGTTCGGTTTTCTAAACAATATTTACGCAGCATGGACTTGAGAGTCTGATGCCAACGCTCCAGAGCCCCTTGGGACTCAGGATGATATGCCGAGGACACTGCATGCTTAACATTTAATGTGCCGAGCACCTGTTTAAAGAGGTTGGACTGAAAGTTAGAACCCTGGTCTGACTGTATTACGCGTGGAAGACCGAAGGTAGAGAAGAACTTGGTGAGGGACTTAACTACAGCTTTGGTTGTAATCTTACGAAGGGGAATTGCTTCGGGAAAACGAGTTGCCGCGCACATAATGGTGAGTATATATTGGTTTCCGCTCTTGGTGCGGGGTAACGGACCCACACAGTCTATTATCACTCGGTCGAATGGTTCTTCCATTACAGGAATAGGATGTAGTGGTGCAGGAGGGACTGTTTGGTTTGGCTTTCCTGCTATCTGGCACACATGACAACTACGGCAGAACTTTGCTACATCTGACTTTAACCCTGGCCAAAAGAAGTGCTTAAGAATGAGCTGATAAGTTTTTGTTACCCCCAAGTGTCCTGACCATTTGCTTTTGTGCGCAACTGATAACACATGCTGTCTATACAAAGAAGGCACGACTATCTGGTAAACAACATTCCAATCAGCATCAGTCTCTGGGAGAGGGGACCATCTGCGAACTAAGACGTCCTGGTCTAGCAGGAAAACCACTTTGTCCACACTTGCGTTATCGTTGACACATACCACACTTCTGAAACAACGCTGCAGTGTTGGATCTCCTCTCTGTGCGTTCGCCAGGCGCCCTCGTGTAACTGGAAGCGAATCTGAGCCGGGAGGGTCCTGTGATTCAACCGCCTCAGGCGGGGGTTGCACGTCGGCCTGCTCCTTGGTTCCCACCACCTCAGTTTCACCTGAAAACATTGTACACTGTCGTTTAGGGAAACATCTGAACTGTCGCACTCACCCTGGAGCAACCGTGTGCGTGCACGAGTGAGCACACAAGCAGGAAACACTGAAGAAGACAGATTGTCTGTTGGGAACTTGCCGCACAGAGGAGAATCCAGCACCTCCAACGTGGGCGTCACCCTCCCTCCCGCAATATCATTCCCCAGTAGAAGTACAATACTCTGAATGGGTAGAGCGTCACAAACAGCAACAGGAAAGAACCCTGTAACTAAGTCAGATTGAATGTGGATGCGGTGCACCGGACGTGGAACGTAACCCATCTCAATGCCGTGGAGCACTGAACCGAACCCACAAGCTGAACGTTCCGAAAAGGGCAATGCCGATGTCAAAATTACTCACTGGGAACACGCAGTATCCCTCAGTACCCGGACGGAGCGCTGATCCACAGGCAGGCCAGTGAGTGAAATGCGTGCTTCAAAAACAAACGGCTTAAAGCAGGCATCCAACTCAGCGCATCTGTTACCCTCAATTCTTGTACTGCGCTGAGTTTTAATTAGACCGACGCCTTTAGTCTGGGAAGGGCGTGAAGACTGTTCTTTGCATTTCAAGGCCGGGCAGGTAGCAATAACATGACCGGTCAGATGACAGTAATAACATTTCCTTTCCTCCTTCTCCCCACCCTGTGTTTTGTGGACAGAGGGAGGTGAAACTGGTGCTCTACGTGGTCTGTCAGGGGAGTGAGCGTAAACAGTTTTATGGATTAGTATATATTCATCGGCCGTTGTTGCGGCAGCAGCTAGAGTTGTTACCTTCTGCTCATTTAGGTACACAACGATGCGTTCTGGCAGGCCCTTTTTAAAATCCTCTACCAGTAACAACTCTCTCAGAGCACTGTAGTTATCAGCAGAACAGGCCGAAGTCCATTTATCAAATAACACCCCCTTCTCTCTCGTAAACTCAGTGTAAGTCTGGTTCTGTGACTTCCTATGACTCCTAAATTTCTGCCGGTAGGCCTCAGGAACTCGTTCGTAAATACGAAGAATGGCAGACTTAACCGACTCATAGTCTAAGCTCTCTTCCAAAGAGAGCGCTGCAATGGCTTCCTGGGCCTTGCCATGGAGCTTACACTGGAGCAGTAGTGGCCACACCTCTGTTGGCCACTGTAAGGCAACTGCAATGCGCTCAAATACACTAAAGTAAGAGTCAACCTCAGATTCCCGGAACAATGGCACTAGAGCAATATGCTTGCTAACATCAAAGGCCAGAGAAATTGGACTTGCAGAATTTAGGGTGGAGGAGGCGGATGATATACCTGGTGCAGCAGCAGGCGGTCTTTGCCTCGCCTGGGAGCTTTCAAGCTCGAGCTTCCGTAGCCTTACAGCCTTATCAGCCTCTACTTCCAGCTTTCTGATTTCAAGCTGAAGTTGCATGTGCTGCTGACGTTCCCTTTCTTGGGCCTCAAGCTGGAGACGGGCCAGGCGAACCTTTATACGGGCCCCATCTCTGGAACGAGCACTGCTCTCAGGGGAAGGGTCATAACGTGGTAGCGTGACTGGTGTCTTTAACCCTCCACCGACCTCGTCGTCCCACCTAGAGACTGGTTGTGGCTTAAGGGTCTGCACCCCCTCGGTCTCCGTGGAGCCAGCCACCGGAAGCGTTTCTAACTCTACTGCCACAGGTAATTCAAGCAGCCCTCTCTCCAACAATGTAGCCACAACTAATGGTTTCAGATCCCTTTTTAACATTGTTTTACTTACCGGAATCTGGAGGTGACTTGCTACTTTAACCAGGTCATCCTTCCTACAGGCGTGAACTTTGTCATGAGTCAGATTTACCAAAAATGACTCCACATCAAAACGCTCAAAAGCCATTGCATCTACACAATCAGCTGTACCAGCTTATCAATTAAGTGTGCTCCCTTACCCTATTTCAATAAATAGCCTTTCCCCCGGAATCAATTATTAGATTTATCCCGGACGAGCCCCCACTTATGTTATGTCCCGAGGTGTCTAGGGATATAGGGACATAAACAAACCAGATGTTGTTGGTTTGGAAGGATATTTATTTGAAATAATGCAAGTGGAGCACAAACAGAGGATGGGCCAATGGGTGCTGTGGAAAACAACAAACAATTATAACAAAAGGAGATCCTCAAAAGGAGGATTACTGCTTACAGAGATACTAACAAAACAAGAAAAAAACAAAAGCTCACTAACCTACAGCATTTGAAAAACCCAAAACGCACAGCACCCCTGAACCTGGTGAAAACTAACATAAAATAACTATGGTGTGTGCAAGAAAGGTGTCAGTGATAGCTAAACTTAAACCTGGCCCATTCTCTTACCTTCACACAGTGAAACACACAAAGTCAAGACACAAAGTCTAGCACGGGTTACAAAACACTACTATAAGCTCTATGACAGGCGTTCCCAAGGCAAGCAACTCAGGTCAGATTGCTGCCTCCAATGGCAGACCCGGCAGGCTTTTAAGCAGGTGGTGGTCGTCACTGTCGCCATTTGATTGGCCCGTAGAGCATGCCGCACCAATCGAGGGCATGGTCACTGGAAACTCAGGAAGTAGGCGGGACCTTCTCTCCTTGTGCAGCCAATCCTCCGCGTGGGCTTGCACAGCCTGCTCAGCATAACAGATAGCCTACTTAAAAGCACAGCCAAATACAGGTGGGGGCGGTGGCAGCTGTAACATAATAGAATGTTAACTTAATTTGCCTTAATCTGCCTTGGTACTTTTATTAAGGTTGTATTCATTATTGTAATGTATGTGTTTATGGTATAGTGTTGTTTTTGTTCTGTTCTGTCCATTATCTTAAAAAGAAAAAAAACTATTTAAAAAAAGAGAGAGCTAGAAGTGGAGTAATAGTAGTAGTAGTTACTGTAATGACTTTGATTTTGCAGTTGCACAACATTTTTGAGTGTAATGTGTTTTTATAATTATAATAACATTTATAATTTTCTGTGTTCTTTGGGCTTACTGTATTTGAATATACAGATATTTAATACTATATTACTTGCAGTACTTACAGTCTACTATATACAGTATTTACTTCACTAAGTTGTGATTACTATACTTTTTTTTTTTTGTCATCTTCTGTAACTACATTCCCTGGACGCTGTGTTCTCAATTTTTTGATGTAGTGTCCAAAGAATGTTCTGTACATTCTCTGTTCCTCTCCTGCTCTCTCTCTCTCTCTCTCTCTCTCTGTTCCTCTCCTGCTCTCTCTCTCTCTCTGTTCCTCTCCTGCTCTCTCTCTCTCTCTCTGTTCCTCTCCTGCTCTCTCTCTCTCTCTCTCTCCTTCACCCTAACCGGTGGAGGCAGATGGCCGCCCACCCTGAGCCATGGTTCGGCTCGAGGTTTCTGCCTCTTAAAAGGAAGTTTTTCCTTGCCTCTGTCGCCTAGTGCTGCTCTTGGTGGGAACTGTTGGGCTTCTGTAAATAACATCACAGAGTACGGTCTAGACCTGCTCTTTTATGAAAAGCGCTGTGAGATAACTGTTGTTGTGATTTGGCGCTATATAAATAAAATTGAATTGAATTGAATTGAATTGAATAGAAAGTAAAAAATAAAAGGTTGATGTTATATACTGTTTTATTTTGACATTTCTTTAAGAGACAAATGTGACATTGACTGAGAAGTTCATCTGTTGTGAAAAACAAAGAATTATCTGCACACTGAATAATAATAAGCCCTACAGGTGGTGTAATTTACTGCAACCTCTTAGAAGGTCTTGTGTCGCTTACATTGTATAGACTCACCTATTTCCTACATGTGCATTCAATCAGGTCTGAGACCTTAAATCAGAGCAGCAAACAAGGCACTCTGCAGAAACTTCAGGCTCTGTTATATAGTATATGGGTACTGTGTGTATGGCTCCTTATTTATCTTAAAGTATAAGGTAGAAAGTAAAAATACTCCTGCACACACAGAAATACACTGCATAATTACTTAAACAGTAAACGGAAGGAGAGAAGGCCTTTCCACATCTGTCCACCCCATCAGCACAATGAGGACTCCCAGGTCTCTGCAGCTCTCTGGGCACCAGGTGGGACATCTGATCTACAGAGTGACTCTGGAGGAAAATGTGTAATAAATGCTTCAGGTGAAGAAAAATATAAAGTAAATATTCTTTAAAAAATAGAATATTGGGTTAAGTTAATTTTCTAACATAATTTAATTCAAAAAGGGAATCTTTGATATATTCTAGACACAAAGTGAAGCATTCAAACCTTTTTGTTTTCATCTTTCTCATGGAAATAAAAACTCCAGTATCTCAAAATGTATTAAAATTTTAGAATAAATACATTTCTGCATTATAAACTATACAGAAATTTCAAGTGGAGAAGAGCTCTCTTATCAGCTAATTAACTCAAAACACCTGCAAAGGTTTCTGAAGCCATTAATCTCTCAGTCTGGTTCTGATGCTCACAATGAACTTTTCCTCAGTATTCAAATTTTTTGAGATGGTCCTCTAAAAGATGCCTCAGTGTTTTAATGCTGACAGCACTATTATGTCACACATGTGGGAGAAAATGGAACAAGGGAGACAGTCTTTAAATGTTTTTGTGTTGTCCTTTTAAGACAATTTCATATCAGCTGTCAAATGTCCTGTAGCCAAGTTGTCCTTGTAACATTACAGTTTAAGCTTTGAGTAGCAGATGTGGAGGCATCAGAACCTCAACAAGAATCTTGTGACAAATATAAAAACCATGGTTCAGTTTGATCCGGACCTAGACTACAACTTTTCGTCCGGACCAAATTTCATCTGTTTGGTCTGGAACGTGGTCCGTGGGAGGTTTCACACCTGCAATTTTGGTTCGGACCAAACTGAAAAGTCCGAATGTCCGGACCAAACCAGGTAAGTGTGAAAGCCCCCTTAAACTCTATAAATCGTCTGCCCAGTTTCATTAAGATCAGATCAGATCAGATATTTTAAATGCCAAAAATAGTTCAATAAAAAACAACTACTCACTTTTGATGTGCTATGAACCCCAGCTCAAGCTTTCAGAACGGCAGCAGCCACTACCAGACCAAAAGCCCAGCCAGGGAGGCTCCTCTCTGCCTCACCTGGAGGCAGTGACAGGAAGAAAGGAACAATTTGCTGTGTTGCTTTACAGAAAATAGAAACTTTTCAGAATGAATCATGTTGGAAGTGTGTGTGGTTAAAAATGAGAACTGCTTTTATTAGCCAGACTTCTACAGTTGAGCAATCATAGTTCTCTCAGTAGAAGGCTTTATTTTGGATACAAAATCAAAGTCATTGAATCAAACTAAAACAAGTCTTAACTTGAATTCATGAATCAGTCAGTGTTTACTGGCTGTGGTTTGGTTGTAGTTAGTTGTAAATACTCTATAGAATCAAAATCTCTTTATGTTACAAAATAGTAGACTTGCATTACAGTGTTACCCCAGCAGGTGTCAGCAGCACCAGATGATTGGATTTATGGTCACTAAAATGATATACATCCTGTATTTTTCATTTTCATCAGCTGACCACAGTGGTCTTATTTCCTGTAGGAAAGTCCAAAGATGACTTTGGTGTTACTGTAGTTTGATATTAAGACTGAAAGAAGCACCACAACAATTTTTGATTGAAAATGGCTAATGACTCTTATTATATTACACTCAATGCCTTTTAAAGAAGAGAAACATTCCTGGCATGTCTTGTTTTCTTGATCTGTATTTATCTTTGTATGAGGGCTTACTTTTGGCCCACTGGAATTGCATGTATATATAAGCATATATATGAGGGTCCAAGTTTTAACCCCGGAATTGATTAGGTATGGGATACTTCACGACCACTGCTGATGACTGCAGAGCTTAACTTACCTTTGTTTAAAACGTGGGTGGCGATCAAAGTCACATTTAGGGTAGGGTTGTGGATCAAGCAGGTCACAGATCGACCTCCATGGATATCTATAGTGCTGCAAAAACTGTAGAGCTGATCTTTGGGGTCCTGCACCGCTGTAGTGTGTACATCCCTCAGGTCTAAAAGGTGTTGGGATTTGTCTGAGAGTCTCCACTTTACCAAAGGCTCAGGGAATCCTCTTTGTGTAGTGCAGACTGCAGTCATTGTTTCTTTGTTTACAGTAAGGCTGACATTCTTGTAAGGAACTGTAAAGAGAGTGCAGTTAAGGTCACTTATAAAAAATTTAATTTCTGCATTTGCAGATATTTTGGGAAATGTGCTTCTTGTCTTACTGAAAGTTAGATGAGAAGACCCGTCTGCACAGTTACTATGAAGCTGTAGCCAGCAGCCTCTTAGCTTAGTTTAGCATAAACACTGAAAACAGGGTGTAATAACTAACTTGAGGTAACTACTGACAACTCCACTAACTCTGATTAAGAGTTAACTTTTCAATCACAAGTTGAGCTTATAACACTTTTGCAGTTATGTAAGTTAAACAAATGCAATAATTGTATAATAAGTTAGTTAACTTTAGTGGTGCTGGCAGGCAGATTCTGTAACTTCTGGACAGAGCCATGCTCCCTGTTTCTGGTCTTTATACTAGCTACAGCCAGCTGTAGCTAGTAGCTAGTCTTTAACAGAAAGAAAGTTATTGATTGTTTCATCTATCAAATTATTCCTGTAAAGAAAAGTGAAATCTCCAACCTTACCTGCAACATGTAGAGTAATCTGGCAGATTTTCCTGTGTTCAAGAATGTATCTTCTTATCCCTTCTGAATCAAAAACTGCTGCAAAAATGTGGAAAACCTTTTGGTTATCTTTAAGTGTTATGTTTTTAACTTTGACTGAAATATTTCCTCTAATCATGTCCTGTTGGAAGGCTGTGATCCTGTCTCGATAAAGTTCATTTACATGCTCTGGCATCTCCTTTCCTTCATTGAATGAGTACAAAACACACTTTCCTTCATCTTGCCAGTAAAAGCGTAGATTCTTTAAGTCAGTGAGAGTTGGGGTCTTTAGGAAACATGGGAGTACTGTTGATTCACCAACAGTAGTGTTGACATCAAGCACAACTGTTGCATCAGCCACTGAATATAACAGAAAATGCAGATTTTAAAACATTTCCTGTGACTAGCGTCACGCATGTCGGTAATCCGAGACAACAATGAACATCATATGCTTCATATTCAATAAAAACTTACCTAACAGGAGAAAGTATGCCACTAACACAATGAACATTTTTAAACTGGATGTTAATGCAAAGTGAAGACGCACACTATTAGATTGCTATTTCCTCCTCCTGCATGCTGACTAAACATTTATATTTGTCAAAACTCTAGCAATGAAGGAGGGGTTTTTGCTAAACCTAACGCCTCCTGTTGTCTCATGCTGCCCACCAGTCTCGTGTTTGGCTGAGCCAAAAATACATACACGTAGATACCTAAGTCGCCCCTTAATTGCAGCATTGCACGACCGCCAAATTAATACAGTGAAGGCGAGCCTCCTAATGCATGTAAGTCTATGGAGGCAGGAGGTCTATCCACAATTAAAATCATGATAAAGCACTGAATGTTCATATATTTATAATAAACTATATTGGATACTTGGTTAAATTAAAAATACATGTTACGTACCAAAATACATTATCTTAGTACGTATATACTAACTTCTACTGTCTAATTTTGTTTGTAGACTCACCAAAACTGGACAATAGAAGATTAGAAAAACGTTGCCTGGTCTGATGAGTTTCAGCTGCGGCATTCAGATGGTTGGGCCAGAATTTGGCGTAAACAGAAAGCAACGAAACCTGCAAGAGAACGGGGAGAGGGGCATGGGGCGGAGAAAAACAACAACAAACAAAAAAAGACAACCAGCCGAACAGCAGCAATAAACAGCTGACATAGGAAGACAACTAAGAGAGAAATGAAAACAAGAAACAGTCAAGCACAATAAATAAGCAACACAGCACAGCCATGAAAGCTGGAATAAAACAATAAATTTAATTCAATTCAATTCAAATTAGCTTTATTGGCATGAATGCATAACAACAATATTGCCAAACCATCAAACAAACTACATAAGAACCCTGTACATTACATTTCATTTAAGCGTGTGTGTTTAAAAAATTAAAATCTATTGAAAATAAAATAAATAAATAACACAGTAAGCGTTGTCCTTGGCATTGCTAGAAAGGTAGCGAGTGACGGCGAAACTGGAGGCGTATATAAGCATGCAGGCACACCGGACACATTAGCTTTTTTCTATTCAGCAGGCACTCTGGCATGTTTGAGACTACTCAGAAGAAAGCTACCACAAGACGAAATTACCTGGAAGCAGAAGCAGAAGAGATGGCTGGTGAGCAGTTCAGGCAGTGTGTCTTTCCATGCCCGCGCTACATCACGGCTGGGGACACTCCATGTGTGTTTCCTGTCTGGGGATGCCGCATGCCCAGGCAGCTCTCGAGGGGGCTGCTTGTGGCCATTGCGAGGCCCTGCCCCTGAGGGTGCTGAGGTCCCGTGCGGCTCTCTTTTCCAAAGACGGCCGGATGCGCTCTCCCCGTGGCTCGACGCCCAGCAGTTGCTGAGGCGGCGCGGCGGCTTCGGTGATGGGGCGCCCAGCGCTACATCTCCGAGGACATCGGGACTGCCGAGGCTTTTTTCCCGTTCCTCGTCTGCTGACTCCGCCTCCTCTCTTCCCCGTTCGGGAGTCCGCTTCTCGGCTTCTCCCGCCCGAGGTATGAATTTGGAGAGGCTTGCGCAGTCTGATTCTGAGGAGCTAGACGTGCATAGCATCATGGAGGATGAATTCCGGGAGCTGGGCCGACGTCATCAGACCGCGCCCAGCTATGAGAGGCGGGGAAGGAACCACGGGTCGGCAGTAACCTCTATGAGCTTTTCTGCAGCCTGAGCGCCACCCCCGCGTTCTTTCCTGATTTGCACAATGAGTTATGTAAATCTGCTGGACTACAGCAGCGTGACAGAAACTAAGCAGCATGGCTACGGAACGATGCCTTGGGGGGAGGAAGCGCTCGCGAGCTATCTTTCTCCCACCGTCGCTTCGTTCCTTTAGATGTCGGCGCTCCCCACCAAGCTGTGTCGGACGAAAACATCCACTTTGGTGGGCAAGGCCTACATGGCAGCGGGTCGAGCTGGTGCAAGCCTGCACACTATGGCCATCTTGCAGGCGTACCAGGCCGATCTTCTCAAGACTATGACCTAGGGGGAGGTCCCTCTGAGGAGGACCTGACTGAGCTCTGTAGAGCTACGGACTTAAACGCTCCGTGTTACCAAGCATTGGCTGCTCCATGGCAGCATTGGTGGCTACGGAGCGCCATCTGTGGCTCAACCTCTCGGGCATCCAGGGGAAGGAGACTGGCCTGTTTGGTGAGGCGGTGGATGCTGTCATCGGCAGGTTTCAGCACGCTGAAATGCAGGGAGAGGCGTTTGAGCAATATCTCCCCCCCCGGTCTGGGTCCAGGACGGCGACGGCTGAAGAGAGACGAGCTCAGCCCTCATCTAACTCCTACCGCCGGAGCCAGAAGCGAAGCGTCGCTTCCTGTAGTCCCCCTCAACAAAACCGGACGCGAGGCGGCGCTCTCGCCCACAGCCCCCTGAGAGGCTGACCGAGGTCCCCTCCCTTGTGGTGGCTCAGGTAACAGGCGCTGTTCTCCCGCCGTCTTGGCGCTCGGGACACGCTAACCACCAGCGAGCTCTCACCAGTCTGCCCGCCTCAAGGGGTTGCAGCTTGAAAATGATCAGGCTCACACACCGTGGGTCGCCGGGGAGTTTCCCTGGCGGTCCTCTGCTTCAGGGTGCCACCGGGGACCTACGCATAACACTGGCCACCAGCCCCAACGGGGTGGTCTGGACTGCAGTGCACGCGGGGCAGAGCCAGGTGTTGGGACAAGAAGTTCGCTCTCTGCTGGAGAAAGGGGCCATAGAACTCATTTCCCCGCCAGTCAGGGAGTCTGGGTTCTACAGCCGGTACTTCATAGTTCCCAAGAAGGACGGAGGACTGCATCCGATTTTAGATCGGGCAGCATACATACCGTGACTTGTTCCAGGGTTCCCACTTGGGACCTCGCGGTGGTTCTCGAAGCGCTGGCTGAGGCCCCCTTCGAACCCCTGGAGTCGGCTGAGGCCAAGCACCTGACCCTTAAGATGGCGGATTTGTGTGAGGCAGCAGGCTGGGCCACTCCTCACACTTTCATCCGGTTTTACAGTCTGGACCTTCCATCTGCACACGGCACCCGTGCGCTCTCCTCCTAGTCGTGCCTACAGGTTGCTGCACACTGGGGGGGCAGGCGGAGGCTTTGGCGTGGAATAGTGGGTATTCTCATTCCCATAGTGTTGTCACCAACGCAGTGTCTCGTTCCCCTTCTCGGGGAACAAGGGTTACATACGTAACCCGAGACGTTTCAGCTCCTAGTATGTTAGGGCTTTGTGATGGTATGTCTGGGGGTTAACTGATTTTAAGTGATTGTAAAATTGAATTGATCTTTTCTGTATTTTTTGTATTTTGGTATTGGCAGAGCTCTGCTTAGCACAGGTTACTCAGTATGGAAAGATTCTATGATTGTTTTGTCCCATTTGTCAAATTCATTATTAAGTTTTGGCCCCCAAATTTCTCTACCATATAGAATTATTTGTTCTAGTACAAACTGGAACATTTTAAGCCTGATTTCAATTGGAATATAGATTTTAATGTTTCTTTTTATTGCATAGAAAGCTCTCCTTGCTTTGTCCCTCAGATCTTTCACAGCCATGTTGAGGTTCCCTGTGTATGTATTGTTGAGGCCAAGATAAGTGTAGTTTTTTGTATGTTTTAATTTAGTGGTGTCTAAATAGAAATTGTGTGTAACCTGATTTCTGTATTGTTTCTGAAAGATGTAAATGCTCCGTATTTGTATAGCGCCTTTCTAGTCTTTTCGACCACTCAAAGTGCTTTTACACTACATCTGCATTCACCATTATACACTGAGCAGAACAGAAACTAACATTCACACACTGGTGGAACAGCTGCCAGGGGCAATTCAGGGTTCAGAATCTTACATTTATATTTACTCATTTAGCTGACGCTTTTATCCAAAGCGACTTACAATTGCTATACATGTCAGAGGTCGCACGCCTCTGGAGCAACGATGGGTTAAGTGTCTTGCTCAGGGACACAATGGTGGATGTCTCACAGTGGGAATTGAACCTGGGTCCCACACCAAACGCAAGCATCTTATCTATGCGCCACCACCACCCCACGACATCTTGCCCAAGGACACTTTGACATGCAGCCTGGCGATGACGGGGATTGAAACGCCGACCTTCTGATTAATGGGCAACCCGAGTTTACTGTGTTTACTGTCAGGGCCCAGGTCTGACAGGATCTGTTGCTGTCTTTACTGTCAGGGCCCAGGTCTGACAGGATCTCTGCAGGAGATTAAGAGAGATTAAGGTGCTGCTGCAAACCTTCTTTAGTAGGTGAAAGCAACACTAAATCATCTGCATACAGCAGACCTCCGATCTCTGTGTCGTTCAGGGTGAGGCCAGATGCCGTGGAACTCTCTAATTGGTTCGCTAATTCATTGATATATAGATTGTAGAGAATTGGACTGAGATTGCATCCCTGCCTCACTCCCCAGCCCTGGGAGACAAACGTTTGTTTCCAATCTTTATGGCACATTCACTTTTTGTGTACATGTTCTTAATCAAATCAAATGTTTTTCTTCCAGTGTCACTTTCAAGTAGCCTATAGAAAAGGCCCTCGTGCCAGATGGACTCTAAGGCTTTTTGGAAGTCAACAAAACAGACATATGCCTTTCTTTTCTTAATGTTTAATTCTTGATCAATTAGAGTCTGGAGGGTAAATATATGGTCCGTTGTGCAGCAATTTGGCTAAAAAACAATTCGGCATTTATGCAGAATATTGTTGAACAAAGTTGACAAGTCGTTTATTAATGATGTTAGATGCAGAATATTTTTCCCACGTTACTGGATACACATATTCCTCTGTAATTATTTGGGTCATATTTATCTCCAGATTTATGAATTGGGGTTTTTAAACCTTTGTTCCAGATGTCTGGAAAAGTTCCAGTTGCTAGAATAGTATTGAGTTAGTTTCAGTATAGCCAATCCAACAATACCACAAGCCTTTTTTCCTTTCAGGGACTGGGTGACTTCTGTTAATTCTTGTTCTGTTACAGGGTAATCTAGAGGGTTTTGGTTGTTTTTTATCACCACCTCCAGAGTTTTCCATTTCGTGAATATCTTGTACTGATCATCATTTTTAATATTAGTGTATAATTCACTAAAGATTCTAAATCTAAAATTTCTCTAAACCCGAAAATCAATAAGGTTCGAGCTTATCGATCACTAAAGATTCTAAATCTAAAATTTCTCTAAACCCGAAAATCAATAAGGTTCGAGCTTATCGATACTGCTATTGAGACTTGCGAGCTATGATGTAACGTTCTAAATGTAAATGCTCCGTACTTGTATAGCGTCTTTTCGACCACTCAAAGCGCTTTTACACTACATCTGCATTCACCAGTCATACACATTCATACACTGAGCCTAAGGCTGAGGCTCTGTTTGAGCCTAAGTGCTCAAACAGAAACTAGCATTCACACTCATTCATACACTGGCGGAATAGCCGCCAGGGGCAAATCGAGGCCAAGCAAGATACACGCAACCAGGGGGAGCCAGGGATTGAACCGCCGACCTTCCGATTAACTGCCAACCCGCTCTACCTCCTGAGCCACAGTCGCCCCATAATACGTTATATACGTTATAACATACGTTATGTCTCGAGCGTCAATTGTGATTTAATTTGAAACACAATGGATAAGAAAATCATCAGGCTGCAGTCTGCCTGCTCTCTGTGGGTTCCTACACACACACACACACACACACACACAGTGGCAGCAGAGCGAGAGGCTGCGCCGTCGCAGTGGAATACGGTGAGGTAAGCTCCAAACTAACGTTAACGTTAAGCATGTAGAAAGGGTTCATTTAATCATCTCTGTCCTCAGTAACGTTATCTCATCCTGTATGTTTTATACAAGCACAGCTAACGCTAGCTTGGCATTAGCCAAATATTAAAAACAAGCTAAATAGAAAGGTGTCTGTCTGGAGCATAGACTGGTCTGTAGTCTTAAAAACTCAGCTGATGGCTGAGACAAACCAGCCGCTCCTCCTCCTACCTGGTAACGTTACCTGCAGCCAGTGAGAGAGGAGGAGGGACTGATAACGTTACAGACTGATGGTATTCTTTCTAAACGTCACTCACTAGTGATGTCAGATAAAGTTATTGAGTTGCTTTGCTGTTGTAAACATTGCTGCTCTAGAAACAACATTTAGCTGTATTTAAAATATTAAATTAAAAACAACCAGGCAGTTAATATGCACACTTTAATATATGTTTATTTACCGCAAGTGACATGTCATCTCAATTTATTTTCGCTCCATATGTTATCGCACATGCAGGCCTACCTCATGCCTGTTGGGTCTGGTCTTACCAAAGAGTATCAATATTGGTATCGATAAAGACTCGGATCGTTAAGCAGTCTCAATAAGGGTATCAATATCAATAACAATTAAAGATCCTCATCCCTAGTCCCCACCCTTGCTAGGACCCTGAAGGATGTTGCTCTTGGAAGGAGCCTCACTACCACTCCAAGGGGTAACCACACAACGCAGACCCATATATATATATATATATATATATATATATATATATATATATATATATATATATATATATAATATAACAGTATTTCACACATGAAACTCTCTAAAATGTCCCTCAAAGTTTAATATTTTATTCATTTACCTACAATACTATTTTCCTCTTCTTACACTTTTTTTTCTTTTCGTTTCGTTTCTTTTCGTTTCGTTTTTAATATCTAGTTCATTATTATTATTATTTGTTTTTAAGGTGTTTGTCTAATTTTTTAACAGATTACACTTGGAGATGAAATCGTTTACAATAACATGTTGGAACATTCAAGGTCTGAGATCATCAGCTTTTGGTTTAAAGAGCAGAAATTCAGATTTTAATAGAGAGTTAAAAGACTCTGACATGTTTTACAGGAGACATGGTACATAGAAGATGTTTCCACTGGTTGTCCTCAGGGCTAAACTGAGATTATTATATACTATGTCATATTGTATATACTGTATACCAATACACCTACCTCAGGTCATAAGGTCATAGGTCTTATATATTTTTTCCAGCATCCTTTGCACTATGCTCCATCACACTGTGTACATGTGTATATGTATACATGTATGTGTATCTGTATATCATATCCACCTTCAACATGTACATAATGAGAATAATAGTTTACTCTTGCATCCTTTGCACTCTGATTACTGCCAATATGTCAATATGTCTATATTGTTTTGTTCATAGTGTGTATATTAGTGTTGTCTATACTGTAGTTTGTCTGATTTTATTTTATTATTATTTTATTATTGTGTTATGGTATTCTTGTATGAGTAAGCACATCATGAGCAATGTACAATCCTGAGTCAAATTCCTCATATGTGTACACATACCTGGCAATAAAGCTGATTCTGATAATGATTATGCGTCCACCTCTTTAGGTCCTTTTCAGACACTTTGCTGTGCTCATTGATCAAACAGCATTATCACCACATATATTTACTGAATGTCAAGGAATGGTAGCCTACTTCTACTAAGTGTATTAAAATATCTATTTTATGAACTCTAAACATTCATAAAATAGATCATGTTTACAAAAACATTAAGGGAGCATTCAAAGCATCACCCCGCCCCCACCTTGCCTCATCTGACCACATGTCTGTTTAGCTAATTCCTGCATACAGACCCCTGCTCGTCGGAACAAAGCCCTCCTTAAAGCAAGTGAGATTCTGGCCGGAGGGAGCCATGTCAGCTCTGCAGGACTGCTTTGAATACACTGACTGGTCTGTCTTCAGAGATGCTGCCACCAAAGGACATACCACAGACATCGAGGAGTATGCTGATGGCGTATTGGATACATGCTCAAGTGCATGGATGATGTCTGTGTCACAAAAAACATCACAGTCTGGGCGAACCAGAAACCATGGATGACGACAGAGGTCCGAGCCCTGCTCAAAGCCCGGAACTCTGCCTTCAAATCTGGGAATGTCACTGCTCTGCAACAGCCAATCTGAACAAAGAAATCAGAAAAGAGGGCACATGGACAAAAAACCCAGGGTCACTTTAACGACCGCAGAGACACCAGGAAACTATGGCAGGGAATCCTGGCCGTACTATAGGACTGCTCCCCAGTCCTGCAACGACAGCATGGATTTCCTCAACAATAACTTTGGTAGGCACAGAATACCACACCAGTGAGGAAAACCATCCCACAGGAAGGTGGTTACACTGGATCCAGCCCCCACGGAAAGCTGCTGGTCCAGACATCATACCAGGCTGCTTGCTTAAGGAGTGTACAGTCCAACTGTCTCATGTCCTCACGGACATATTCAAAATCTCCCTGAGTCAAGCTGCTGTGCCTTCGTGCTACAAAACGTCAGCCATCATCCCTGTTCCAAAGAAACCCACCATCACTAGTCTGAACGACTACCGGCCCGTAGCACTCACTTCCAAAATAATGAAGTGCTTTGAAAGACTAGTCAAGGACCACGTCTCATCTGCCCTCCCTCCTTCACTGGACCCATTTCAGTTTCAATTTTATATAGCCAATATCTCGTATTTCTACGGTGTTTGTTTCTGTGCTATATTTTTAAACTGTGAACTTTGCACTTTGAATCTTTTCCACACATGCCTACAACATTTGGATGGCACTGTATGCACAGTATGTAAATATTTTATTGATTTTATATGCAACCACACCAGTTCTGTATGTATTTATTTGTGTATTTGTTGTACAACCTTGTATTATATAATAGTAAATTACCTTGATACAGTGTTCAATAAAATGCATAGACGAGATTAAAAACTTTATTTATGGACATACAGCATGAATGTGTACTGTACTTTACACATAAATCATTGTGCGTGTGTGTGTGTGTGTATTAATTGAGGTGGGTGTGAGTGCAGGGGGGCTGTAAAGTGTGCACACATACTGTACACACACACACCTCCAGACATTGGTCACTGAATTATCACCTCGCCACATGGGTCCACGTAGCAGTGATGATTCGGGATGACATCATTTACTTCTCTTGGTTTAGAAAAAGTCAGTGTGAACACAAACTGGGCTAGAACAAAATGACAACAAACTTTTTTTCCTTGTCTAGACCAAATGAAACTACAGGTGTGAAAGAGAGTTAGTTTGTGTGTATTAAGCAGTCTCATCCATTGTTTTGCACTCTATTAATGCTTATTAGTTATTTCTCCATGAAATATTTGACACCAGAGATCAATATGTTTACATAGGAAGCAGCACTGCATTATCTGATGTTGAATGATGAAAAGCAGACAGATACAGAATGAAAAGAAGGCATCTGGTACAGGAATATATCAGAGGAATCACTGTGGAACCACTATGTCACACACTTTTAAATGGACTTCATGAACTGTCAGTAGAATGCAGAAAATCCCAGCAGTCACATGTTAATATGTCAATGTGTTTCCATGGTTACCAAATGAAATACATAAATATATAAATACCTTCTACAGATCCAGTCTGCTTGGATGTGGACCTTGTCAGGCAGTTTCGGTCGGGTTGTTTAATCAGTACCAGAGATTTACAAACAGCTTTTTCACCTGCTCAAACCCACCAGACCAAACAGCAACAGTTCTGATCCCAGGCTTGATTCATTCTGGTGACTCTTATTTGTCCGTGACACTTCATTAGGTGTTTGTTTCATCAACATTGTTCTTGCTGTCGCTGAACAGTAGTATTTCCTGTTCTGCAGCAACATCATCAGCAGTAGTGTCCTCATTCGTCACTCAGTCTGCAGAACCATCCACAGGTGGAATCTCAAACAATCTCCTCAGATACATTCGTTGCTGCTGGGGTGGGTTTACTGTGGGCCCTGGGGGGAGGGGACTTATTTTTATCCATGCTAATAGATCCAGGCATTGCCAGCAGTGTACTTTTCCTTGGTTGTGTGTAACTGATGCATTTTAGCACTCCACTCTATGTCCACTACCACTTTTAAAACATGTATTTGTAACTTCTGTTTATTTATTCTAAGCCACTATTATATTTTAGGTGAAACACCAAGACTTTATGTACATTTTGTTTAAATATGATTGTGGTTTTGATAGTGACTCCACAGTACTGACAGTGTCACACCTATAGCACATGCGAGGACCCTATTGAAACTGAAGGATTTCTTTTTTCTTTCTTTCTTTCTGCAAATTAAGTGCATATTTGGTGGCCTAAACATGCTCAAAAACATAAAACTTATGAAACAGGAAGTTGTTGTAACTTCACTGTACATGCTCAAATCTGCACCAAACTTTACGTCTGAACCCATCTACTGTACATTCCAATATTGACGCACTGTCATAGGGTCATCTACTGGCAGCAGGAAGTTATCTCTGTGTGACAAACATCATTACATTTACATGAAATCTTTACCATGTGGTCCACATTTCATGTACTGGTACACAGTACAGAGTACCAGCGCGTACTATTACTGTGTACCAGTAGCGTCAGTGCTTGAAGTGGAAAAAAACAGGTGCCAGTACTCTACTTGGTCAGTTCACAAAAAGTGACATTGAAGAGCTACATTCAGCACACGGCTGCTTGAAAGGCACCTGAGCTTCTCCTTCCTTTTTCGCTAAGAACAGTGGTTGTTCATTCTTTTTCACTAGTTGATGATATATTTATATATCAAATAAGATATTCTCTATTGTTATTGTTAAGTTCACTCACATTCTCTGCACCAACAAGTTACTACAAGTACAATTACAAGTACAAGTACAAGAACAAGTAATACATAACGGTTCCTCTGCTGATCCTCACCTGTAAATTAGAGGACATAAGTAATACATTATTTGACATGCTAAGAATACTCTTGTGAAATACAAAACACAAGAATGCAGAATTTTTTTCAGCTGCCCATCTCTTTAGTCACTGATTAAATACATAAAATCATCTGACACTAGTTTTAATTAATTTAAAGTAAGTTTAGTTATAGTTTATTGAGAGAGATTTGTGTCTAATAAATTAAAAGAGTTCTGAATAACAGTATAGTGTGACTTTAAAGATGCTTTGAAGCCTCATCAGTTTATCAGTGAATGACCTGCTGCACTCACCAGGAGCCTCAATCTCTGTGGTTTTTTTCAGACTCTCGTTGGAGTGAGGGTTGTAGATGAGGCAGGTTACAGATTGCAACTCCTTCACACTGACACTGGTTATGACAGAGAAGGTTTTCTCTGTTGCATCCTGCTGCAGGGACATCTCAGCACCCTGCAAGTCCAGCTGTGTAGCACTGGATTTGTTTAGACCTGACCATGACACTTGAGGTTCAGGGTATCCTCCATGTGCTGTGCAGGTTGCACTGTTTGCTGTCTTGTTAACTGTAAGGATGAGATCTTGATAGGGAGCTGAAGTGTGACAGAAAGAACAGCTTTTACACACTAGAGACATTTACACTTCATGTGAAAAGATTCTTATTTTAGTTTGGAAGAAAGAAGCTACTTTACTTACCTGAAACCTGCAATGTAGATTTGCACCATTGTTCAGACTGTATTTTCTGCTTATCATAACTAACATATGCCCAGAAGGTTTTCTGGTCATCCCCCACAACAACATTGTCAAGTGTAATGGAAATATTTCCAGAAGTAAACTCAGTATTGAAGAGGTGACACCTGTTCCTGTATTCATCAGCTATTGGAGATGTTTTTCCAATGGCGTCCCAGTGGAACAAAATGTTGTCAGACCGGTCCTCCTGCCAGTAAAACCATCTGAGATTCAGTGGATGAACTGGTAGGTAACAGTGAATCAGGACAGAGCCTCCAACAGGGGCATTGAGAAGCACAGTTGTCTGACCCATGATGGGTGCTAGAAAAGAAAAAAGAAAAACATATCAGCAGAAAGAGAAATACTGACTCATCAAAACACTGATTAGTTAGTAATAAAGAGTGTAGATAAACTCAGGTTGCAGTATAATATTTACTGAAAGGCTGTGTGTTGTGTTTGCTAGCACGGAAAATAAATAAAAAGGGTTTATGTAATGTTAAATATTCCACATATCTCCCAAACCAGAGTTAGGGACTGTTAGGGCAAAGACCAACAAAGATGGTCCAAAATTTGTTCAGAGGTGACCGAGAGGTTTAAAAGGCTTAGAGAAAAAAAAAAGACTATTTTGTCTGTCAGTCTGTAAACAAATTAAGATCGCATCAAGACAAATACTGACTAATATCACATGGCACCTTGTGTTGAAACACCTACAGTAGCAAATTAATTTCTGCCACTTACATGTTGATACAACTGCAACTGGAAAAAACACTGTGTAGGCAAGGAATCAGTGAGTACCAATCTCTTACCACATAGAAGGAAAATCGCAAGGTTTGTACCAGACATGTCTGTGCTGCAAAACAAAGATAAAAGATCCTGTAGTGAGCCACTGCGTACACACACCATCAACTGATTAATCTCTCACTTCCTCATAAAACCTTCATTGTGATGATATTTAACTTTGGCTGTTTCCTTCAGTGCTGATTTTAATTTAAATCCAAATAATTCATCTTAGTTAGTGCAACTGTTTGGAAATTAGATGACACTTACTAGATTAAATTGTGGCTGGCAGGTTTATCTCTGCATGCTGTAGACAAAACAGAGGCAGTGAGTGCAGAACTAGTGCCAGCATGCTGGAGCCCCTCCTATACAATCTGCGATGGCTACACACTTACTACAGGTCATGCAAAGCAGGACACAAAACTGGAGTATTAAATAACAGTATGAAAGTAACTTTTAATAAAGTTCTATCTCTACAGGGATCATTTCCATAATATTGATGGACACAATTGCTCACGAAGATTACGTCACAGCCCTTCTACACGGCACAAATGTTACCTGTGCCTACTTGTCATTTTGAACCTATTTATTACAGCATTTTTGTCACAGTGAAACAAATGTTAGAGCGTCTTTATCTTCTGTAATGTGACGCATTTCTGACTGAAAGAGAATTTGTGAAAGAGAAGGGATTTAAATAAAATTCAGATATGGATCTCTGAAATGTGGTTCAGCCTTAGTGAATACAGCCGGAATGAAAGCCAAAGTCACAACAGCACGCAATAGAAGTTATTTTTCAAGCTAAAATAACAATTGCTTGCTTCCATCATAATTACTACAGTCAATAGAAAACAGGGAGACGGCTTACTAAAACATAAGGAAATATAGTTAGTCATGTATGTTCACATATTTAACCAGGGGATGGTTAATGTAAGGCTACTTAGATACAGTGCTCCCACTAAAATCCTCCTCCTTTAAAACAGTTTGCTCCATCTGTCTGTCTGTCTGTCTCAGACACAGAACAGAACAAGTTAGAAACAAACAATATTTATTGAATAGTCTAAGTGGATTAACTCAGCTGAATCTGTGCTTGTACTGGCTGATGATCCAGCATCTCCTCTACTGACAAACTGAAGCACAGCACCTGGAAATTATAATTAACAATACTATAATTCATATTATCAGCTCCATCAGGCGCATTCAAACTGGCTCCCCCAGAGCTCCTTTCAGACATTTTTAAATATAAAATACTATCTATATTCTGGCTTGACTGAATACTTGATGTTTATTATTTACTTAGAGGTGTGTGTCCATATTGCCAGTATGCCTGGCTAATCAAGACTTTAAATTCAATCTTTAATCAATAGTCAATGTCAGTCCATTGCTTTCCAACTTGCATTAGTCCAGAGTTGTAACCTTGACTGAGAGACAGATAATCACTGCCTTGTTTTACATTAAGTGTGCCTATGAGTGCCATCAGGCCCATACTGGTCCGCAGAGGCTGCTGCTGGACTTTGATTTCGTGCCCGAGCATATGATCGCATGTTCACGCAGTTTATAAACCCCGCTGGAGTTTATCAGACCGAATAAGTGAATAGACGTATTTCACTCTCTTTGCACAAATGAGGTTAGCAGGACACACAGACTAGAGAGCGACGCACTGCAAGCAGCAACTTACTGAGCGTTATGTGCTGTCATCAAACGTGGAGAGGACACCACTCTTCCAGTGTTTGACCCTCTGTTTTCTTGTCCAGAAGGAGAGTTCCCCACAGAACCAATCAGCAGCTTGTGAAAAGAGCCGGTCCTGCGTTCCGGAGGAACAGGTGTTGTGCCTAATGCCCAATTTCCTTGTATACGGCGCGCGCTCCCTCGGACTGCAATCACTTTTCTGCGGATGATCCTTTTTGGCACACGGCGTCACCACCCACACGCGCGGAATCCAACAAAAATGCTAAGACGGATTTCCAACCACTCAGAGCTTCTTCTCATGTTCATTTCACCAGCTGAAGAGGAAGAGACCCTGTCTACAGCGAGAAAATCAGCCGAAACTGAAACTAGGATCCACAAAAGGGATGTGGACATGTCTCCGTAAACCTAGCCAACGCTTCATTTGAAAACAACTAATGCCTAACACACTGCATGGCGGGGGATGCAGACGGCCTACCTGATGAGCTGTCTTCAGCAGGGAGATGGTCTGCGTTCCTGTCGGTCGCTGAAGTTAGTTTTAAGTTGGCTACTCCACAGCCGATCACTCAGGATCCAGCCGCTCTTCTTCCTCAGTTTCACCCTGTGTTGACGGTCACAGGGCGGCTAGCACATCCCAGACCGCGTGCTCTTAACCACAGGGGATTTCCTACAAGGGACAATCAAAAAATTACTGCTGGAGTCAAACTGCTGACATGCCCATTAGTGAAAAGTGTGATTAAAATATAATATATTATATTTTAAAATGATAAATATTGGTCTCATAGCTCACCTATTTAGATTGCTAATGTGTTTAATAAACAAATATTTGAATAGAAAACAATTTATGTTGGAATTGAAATAAATGGATATTAATATATTATATTAGTGATTCTTCTATTTTATATAAATATTTCTATTGAAAAATCAAAAAATTATCGTAGCCTACTACACTGCCCAACTTTTCTTATTGGATTTTAGTGCTTCTTCTATTTTATATTCATATTTTTATGGAAGCATTCAGCATTTTTTTCAATGACTTCCCTGTCATGTGACCCAGGGACCACAAACTCAGGGACATTTTAAAGTAAGATGTTTTTTTTCACAGCACTGAGCACATTTATATGAAAACTTTTATTTCCAAGGGCATTTCCAGTTTCTTTGCCTTTTCAGAGTCTGTGCCACACGGAGCATGGAACCATCCTCTACAGTCGTCACTGTTGAACCTGGACCTGTTGACATGAAAAACAAATTATTGTATTATTTACCTTTTTTTGCTACAGGTCCCGTTTCAGAAAGCGGGATTAGTGGAAATTCTGAGCATGTTCAGCCTGAGATGAGGGAAACTCTGGGTTTCTGTTTCAGAGAGCGAGATCAGATAAACCCTAGATCAGTAACTTCAGCAACTGATGCTGTGAGCCTGACCTCTTTGGGAGGCAGCTGTCTGATACCCTGTTTCATTTCCTCATTCATACTGTAAATATCGAAGCACAAATCTGAACGCATTTACATCTTAAAAAACTTTAAAATCCCGGTTAGATAAGCTATTAGTTTTTCATCATGATGAACATGACGCTTTATGATCAATCTGTCATCTATGTAAGACAGATCTCCACACATTGTGGATTTATCCTCAGCACAGAATCAAATCTTTGTCCGTCTTTATAGCACTGTAACTTTGTGGACAGTTGCATTGATTAGAGTTTTTCATTATTACCTGCTCATTGTCTGAATGTGTTTTGACAGCATTAGTAAAATACAAAATGAGCATTAATGTAAACTAGAGGTCTAAAACTTTACAGTCACTTTGAACCCATACATACACACAAAAATAAATTAATAGGCTAATCTGCTGGGTCGGAATCACAGGTTTGTAAACTGTGTCTCCATCATCCACTCCTGCGTTTCAATATAAACAGCCTATCATGGTCCGTGTTGGCACCAGTCATATTGTTAGCTCCACCCGATTAAAATGGAGGCGCTGCCTTTATTTACCTGTTGCCATGGTGAATTGGAGTATTGAAGCTACATTGATGATGGCTTTTTTTCATCCCCACGCACGCGCTTCCATCAGAGTTTCCCACCTCAGGCTCAGTCAGCTCAGAGCTCAGGGATAAAATCAGACTTTGTTAAGCTTGCTTTCTGAAACAGGGCCCTGGTGTGGTCTGGTGATAGAGCGGGTCGTCCAGTACTCAGATGATCAGCAGTTTGATCCCCAGCACACCCCAGTCCACATGTCAAAGTGTCAAAGTGTGTGTGTTTGTGTGAGTGAGTATTATTAAACACCAAATAACCTGAGCAGAGCTCAGCCAATATCCCTCTTACTAAAAATACAGAAAAGATCAATTAAAGTTTAAAATCACTTAAAATCAGTTAACCCCCAGGCATCCCATCACAAAGCCCTAACACACCAGGAGCTGAAACCAGATAAGATTCCCTTCAGCCAGCTGGCCCTGAGGCTCTCTGCAGTAACAAGTCCCCAGACTCAGGACAGCAACACCAACTTAAGCAGACCAAACCACATTATCAACAAGCAGAAAGAAAAATATAACCAAAACACAAAGTAAATTCCAATGTTATCTGACCCAAAAAAGATAATTCACACTGGCAATTTACCTGAGCACAATAAAATGTCCTAAACTAAGAAAAATGTTGACAACATCCAGACTGAGTGAACACAGCCTGGCCATAGAAAAGGGTCGCCACAGACAGAGCTGGCTACCACAAGAGGAGAGACTCTGCTCCCAGTGTGATACAGGGCAGGTAGAGACAGAGCTGCACTTTCTAACCTCATGCCCTAAATATAAAACACTAAGACAAAAACACTTTCCAAATATACCCTGAATTTGAATTCATATCAGACACACACAAACTCCCATATTTACTGGGAGAAATGCCCAAATGTCAAATAATTGATGCAAAATATGTCTCCTCATGCCATGAAGTGAGGACAACCAGTGGAAACTCAGACTGATAAATAAATGTACAAATTTTCAAATTATTATTATTTTGATTGTTTGATATTTTAGTAATTGTTCCTTTATTTGTATTTTGTTTTTAAATTTCCCATTTGATACTGATTTTGTAGTTGTTTTTTAAAATTAATGTTTTAAACCCATAATGGAAAATAAAGGAGCTGCGTTTTGTTCTATCTTTGACCGTTGTTGTATCCCTACAACCCTTTCTCACTCCAGCAGCTGGTTACCTGAGCGACACCACAATATGTTCATCATGAGTTTTTTCTCAAGGCTATGGCCAGGGTGCGAAGGGGGAGCTTTACTCCTCTTAATAAGACATGAGCTCCCTTGAAAACAGGATTTGTAATATTTTGGGGGGTCTCTAAAATATTGACAATATGCTATTTTTGCCATTTATTTCTATTTTTTGGAGCCTATCATGGATCATGTGTAATCAGTAGCGTAGGCTTCATCCAGCCAGAGGGATGACCGACCATCCACAGCGCACCAGGTCGCTCCCGCAACCTCCTCTCTCTCGCCCTGTATGCTCCAGCGCCCACTCCCTCTCCGGCTGTAGACCTATGTCTACTATGGTTTGTGTTGCAAGTGGACCTGGAGCACTGGACGGTCAGTGGTCGTTCCCTCTGGCTGGATGATGTCCGATACTCCTAATGCAACTTTCTAAATTCGTCCATCTCAGAAAATAAAGGTCAAGTCGAAACAGCCTAGAGAGGCTGAATGAAAATTACCTGAACCTTTTAATCCGTGTTAATATACAGATCGCCAAATTAACTAATAACAGTTCATGTTTGCTGTGTACCATTGGATGTACTGACAACTATCACTGAATTAATTTGACACTGAAGAAATCTTAAAAACCGGAGGATTCGCTTGAAAGCTTCCTGTTTCAGTAGTGAGAGAGAGAGAGAGAGAGAGAGGCAGCCTACACAATATACACACAGAGGTACCGACAGTAAAGGTGATGTTGCTATAGACAATTTTTAGTAGTGTTAATGGTAACAGTCGTAATGTTAATGATTATAATAACAATAGGACTAGTAACAATAGTCGTTGCAGCAGAGGGTGTTGAGCAGGAACACGGGGGCAGCAGGTGACCCGCAGCCACAGATCCAGACTCCACAGCTTCAGAGCCAGAAAACCTGCAGGAAGTGATAGGAGGAGAGAGGAGAGGGATGAGAAAGCACAAGACTACCAGAAAGGGGAGAAGTTGTGTTAGTAACATGCAATAATGGGATGAGGTTGCATACAGAGGGAGAGAAAGTAGAGGAGAGAGGAGCTCAGTGCATCATGGGAAATCCCCCGGCAGTCTAGGCCTATAGCAGCATAACTAAGGCATGGTTCAGGACTCACCTGAGCCAGCCCTAACTATAAGCTTTATCAAAGAGGAAAGTCTTAAGCCTACTCTTAAATGTGGAGATGGTGTCTGCCTCCTGAACCCAAACTGGAACCTGGTTCCACAGGAGAGGAGCTTGATAGCTGAACACTCTGGCTCCTAGTCTACTTTTGGAGACTCTAGGAACCACAAGTAACCCTGCATTCTGGGAGCTGGTGGGGTAGTAAGGTACTATGAACTCTTTAAGATAAGATGGTGTCTGACCATTAAGAGCTTTGTAGGTAAGAAGAATGATTTTAAATTCTATTCTGGATTTTACTGGAAGCCAATGCAAAGAAGCTAAAACAGGAGAAATGTGATCTCTTTTCCTGGTTCCTGTCAGAACACGTGCTGCAGCATTCTGGATCAGCTGAAGAGACTTAATGGACTTTTTCGAGCAGCCTGATAATAAGGAATTGCAGTAATCCAGCCTAGAAGTAACAAATGCATGGACTAGTTTTTCTGCATCATTTTCAGACAGGATGTTCCTGATTTTCGCAATATTACGTAGGTGGAAAAAGGCGGTCCTTGAAATTTGCTTAATGTGAGACTGAAACGACATGTCCTGATCAAAGATAACTCCAAGATTCCTCACAGTGGTGCTGGAAGCCAGGGCGATGCCATCCAGGGAAACTATATCTTTAGATAATGCGTCACGGAGGTGCTTAGGCCCCAGAGCAATAACTTCAGTTTTATCTGAGTTTAACATTAGAAAATTACAGGTCATGCAGGTTTTAACATCCTGAAGGCACATTTGAAGTTTAGCTAACTGATGAGTTTCATCTGGCTTGATCGATAGATATAACCGAGTATCATCTGCATAACAATGAAAGTTTATGGAATGTTTCCTGATATTATTGCCTAAGGGAAGCATATATAAAGTGAACAGGATTGGTCCAAGGACAGATCCTTGAGGAACTCCATGACTAACTTTGGCGTGCATGGAGGACTCATCGTTAACATGTACAAACTGAAATCGATCTGATAAATAGGACTTAAACCAGCTTAGAGCGGTTCCTTTAAAATTTAAATCATGAACGAATTAACACTTTTACTATTAAGATATTTATTTTGTTGAGGGGCCCTGTGATGGACAGGAGACCTGTCCAGGGTGTACCCCGCCTTTTGCCCGATGTCAGCTGGGATTGGCTCGGCCCCCGCAACCTTGTACGCAGGATAAGCGGTTGATGATGGATGGATTTTGTTGAGGAAAAAGGGACTCAAAAAAGATTTAACTTAATTTTACTCGTGCACATTTATTGAAAACAGATTTTATCACAATAGTTCAGAATGTTCTGCCTCAGATTTGTGAAGTGATCCACTGTTTTGGCATTAAGTGTTTGTTCTGACCAGAAAGAAAAGTTTAAAACCACAATTCACCATCTGGTTTCTTCAACTTTCACTAAGGAGCAAAAATCAGCCTTTAAACTCGATGGAAGTAATAACTTGACATTTATCCTGATCGTTATTGATATGGAATTTTCGCCCAGCCCTACTATAAATAGTATTTTTAGCTTTGAAAATGTTAAAGGAAACCTATGAGAGCCAGCTTGAATGAGCCTGATGAGTTGATACCAATAATATCTAGCAGGTACTGATATCTATAATTTACTGGAGCTATGCTTAAATTTGTCAATAAAGTAGATGCTGGATCATAAGCCAGTAATAGCACAGCTGATCCAAATCCAGTATTAGCACAGACCCAGTCCAGACATCGTTAACAGGTCACACAGACCCAGGTGAAATACAGGCACCCTCAGCCAGTACGAGTACAGCCAGAGATGTACAGCGAGCATCAGTCTTATCAGACTTTATGAGGATTTTTCCATTTTCTCCCTTTTTCAATTGCAAGGTCATCTGCATAAAACAGAGACTTTGATCCTATACTTGTCTCCTATTCATAGTTTTCAGTCACGTGACATGGGCAAAACAACAGACCAACATAGCAGCTCTTTATCATAACAGACTCCCTTGTGGAGACGCCGTGAAAGCCGTTCAATTTTATTTGGATCACCTTTCAGCTCATGAAAAAGATAGAGATCGACACAAAGTGTTGGGTACTTGCAATCCATATACAGCCTCCGCGGCCGTGTTTCCACTGTTCAAAACTGCCAGGCCCCTGCCGCCCCTTGGCTGTGGTATGTTTACGTTCACCTTGTAGGGAATCCCTCACCTAACATAGCCCAGGCTTGTCTCCTCATCGATAAGTGCATCCCAAAGCACAACAACCATCCATCATTTTCGCAATGCAAAAGTAACAAACTCAGTGCTTGAAGTGGGCCGGTACGCAGCGGTACGTGGTACCAGTACCTCAGCGTTTTACTCTTTGGCGTACTCGGACATTTTCTTGCGTACTCTCCTCTGTCCTCTCCATATCCATATGTAAAACATGTTTCTTGCTGACAGAGTCTCTGATTCTCTCTGACTTTAATTGTCTCCATTATAAAGTTGATGGGAGAAATAGAAGAAAGAAAATTCTTTCTAGCCTAATAAATTAAGAAAGTTGTGTGTGGGGCTTTTGTTGTTCAGACCTAAAATGAACTCAGATTTTAACTAGACGGTGAATCATAAAACAAATCAAATATAGCCAAAGACTTTGCAGTGATGCACTTGAGTTTAATGTTATCTGTCCTGATGCATCGGATCAGTCCGATCAACTGCAGCATCCAATCAGTATAACGGCTACCCAATAAGGGGGCAGTAAAAGCTTTCCATAAAGGATGCACTGGTGTATCCTCGCTCATAGCTCCTCAGGGATCGCTCCTCACTCCTTGGAGCGCAAATAAGAGCTGCATGTGGTTAGCTTGTGCTTAATTTGTTACACATGTCCCAACATTGATTTTGGTCAATTGAGTTTTCAGTAGGCTCTCTTCTAGTGCCAGGTTTCCCAAAATGGGTCGCAGGCCCATTTTTATCGGGTGGCCAAGTGGCAGAGTGATGTTCTTAACAATGTCTTTAATATGTAAATATGAGAATGAGTGTTCTTTTGTGCTACACTTGTCAGTTAAGCTCAGATGCTGTGTGAGGTTTTCTCTCTTCTCCCTAACCTGATCTTTTATGTCTGTGATCTGTCACTGTCGACCCTATGATGTCTAAACGAAAGTACAAGGACAAATTTATTAATGTTGGATTCACCAGATTAATTCAGAATGGAGATGAGATGCTTCAATGTGTAATATGTGGGGAAGTGCTCAGTAATGAGGGTTTTGAAATGAATAAACTGGACAGGTATCTTCCAAACGAAACATTCATTGTATCTGGGAAAGTCCAAACATTTTTTTCTTTGCAAAATTAGAGTCCTTTAAGATGTGTTGATTCAGTATGGCACAACAATACAATAAAATCGTGTCTGTTGATGTGGAGATAGGTTTGGCTATGCAAGACTAGTCCTCACTGATTACAAAACCACAACTTTATTCACTCATTTTAGGAGAAACTGGATCATATTTTATGGAGAAAATATTTTCCTCTGCCTCACCTTTAGAAAGACATGAAAAAGTACATTGTGTAGGATATGGGACCTTTAAAGGAGAAGTTTGACATTTCTAATTTGCTTATTTGTTGTATTAATTTGTGCCAAGAAGAAGAACAATACAACTGATACCACTCTTATTCTCATTGTCATCTAAATATGAAGCAGCACCTGGTTAGCTTAGTTTAGTGTAAAGACTGGAAACAGCTAGCCTAGCTCTGTCCAAAGGTGAGGAAAAATCACAGCTTTATGTTGGGCTTATGTGCTAGACTATTTTTTGGCCTGGGAAAGAAAAGAAAGATTTGTGCTTTCTGAAGGTATCTCTCAGTAGAGGTGTCCAGCTGTGGCTCGTTGTCTGGGAGAATACCAAGCTGTGTGGTGTTCAGGCAATGCCACACACACGGTACACCCGCCCATACAGCAAACCATGAGAGAACACAGTGCTTTTCATGTTGGCTTAATAATGAAACAAATTAGCGTTACTATGGTGACAGAGAGGAAAAGTAAACAGAGGGTAAAAAGGAAAGAGAGAGAGAGTGGGAGAGCAGGCTAGAGAAGAATAGAAATGGGCAGGGTTTCAATGGCCAACTGGACTGATTAACTGACCCTGTGGAATTTTAGCTCAGCTCCTCAGAGATTTGAAAGCTCCACACAGGCAAGGATGCAGTCATCTGGATAAACTTTAGAACAGCAGGAACGTTTACAGTGAAAGAAAAAGCAGGAGGAAAAGGGTTCAAAGAGAAGACGCTACCATTGTCACAGCGGTATGTTGAATTTTAAGGCGACCTCTGATAGGCTGGAATGGTTGTCCAACACTGCAAAACGATTCATGTCAGCCTCAGCTGTACTTTGTGTTTAGTGCTAATTATAAAATATTTGCATGCTAAAATGCAATGCTATGAAGATGAACATGGTAAACCGCATGTTAGCATTGTTAGTATTGTCATTGTGAGCATGTTAGCATCCATCTCATAGAAATATATGGACATGCATAACAAATTCAATAGATAGATCTATCTATCTATTAAAAAATATATACTATATATACACTATATTGCCAAAAGTTTGGGGTCGCCTGCCTTTACATGCACATGAAGTTTCATGACATATGTATAATGTATAGCCCCCCCTTGCAGCTATAACAGCTTCAGCTCTTCTGGGAAGGCTGTCCACAAGGTTTAGGAGTGTGTTCATGACCATTCTTCTCGAAGCACGTTCTTGAGGTCAGGCACAGATGTTGGACAAGAAGGCCTGGCTCACAGTCCCCGCTCTAATTCATCCCAAAGGTGTTCTATTGGGTTGGCATCAGGACTCTGTGCAGGCCAGTCAAGTTTTCAACACAAAACTCGCTCGTCCATGTCTTCATGGACTTGCACTGGTGCTCAGACATGTTGGAAGAGGAAGGGGCCATTCCCAAACTGTTTCCACAAAGTTGGGGGCATGAAACTGTCCTAAATGTCTTGGTATGCTGAAGCATTAACAGTTCCTTTCACTGGAACTTAGGGGCCAAGCCCAACCCCTAAGAAACAACCCCACACAGATAAATTTTGACCCTACCATCTGAATGCTGCAGCTGAAATTGAGACTCATCAGACCAGGCAACATTTTTCTAGTCTTCTTTTGTCCAGTTTTGGTGAGCCTGTATGAATTGTAGCCTCAGTTTCCTGTTGTTAGCTGACAGGAGTGGCACCCGGTGTGGTCTTCTGCTGCTGTAGCCCATCTGCTTCAAGGTTCGATGTGTTGTGTGTTCAGAGATGGTATTCTGCATACCTTGGTTGTAATGAGTGGTTATATGGTATAGATATAGCTATAGATATCAGGGTCGGAATCACAAATATTGATAGCAGTTTGTGCCCAGAAAGTTATCTGAGATAGGCAGAATCCTTTTTTGTTTTTGGTGTCAATCCTACTGAAACTCGTTGCTAATGGGTTTTATTGTTTGTTGCATAAGGACAGGTTTGATGACTTTATTGTCATACCAATATATTGCAATGTTGTTTTTGTAACCACAAACTTAATAACCCCAGAATATTTACCTAAGAAAGTTTCAACAGTTTGGTTCAATGCCAAAGACTAGTTAGTCTACGTTATTGCTCTACTTAGAAAAAAGGAACTTTTGTAAAGCCAGTTGATCATGGGTGTTATATTTCTAAGCCCTAACAGGATTATTTGAACTATCAGCTAATTGCATTTCCTTAATCTAACCACATCTGTTCCATGTGCTGACACAGCACCTTACCACAAATTCATCTTATATGACACAAGTCTGGGGTTGGGATTCATTTAAAGTGTTTGTTGTGCATTAGGGACTGTGCTGTCATCTCACTGTGATGGAGTGACAGCACTAAGGCTATATTCAGGGTTTGGAGGATTACTTTAAAAATGTAATATGGTACAATTACAAATTACTTGTTAAAAAATGTAAGTAGTAATGTAATCCAAGTACCACAAAATAAAAGTACTTACTTCAATGCCAAATAGGCAAATGAAAACAAGAGAGTATCTGGCCCATCAATGACCAAAAAAAAGTGTTTCGTAGGTATTCTTGATGATATTTACATTTTTTCTCAGTCGCTTTGGTGCATTTCTCAGATCAGAATTGAAATGATCAAAACTAATTGTTCAACATCCACATCATCTCGTCGCTTGTGCACATCATAAAAGCACTATCTCATTGTTTTTAACAAATTGCAAATGACTTGACACACTGATGCAAATGATTATGTACAATTGTCTGCAGTTTCCTACATTATCACTTGCTTATGTCCTGCTGATCACAATGAATTATACCAGTCTCTGTTGAATAATCTTACCCCCCAAAACATCTAGGCATAAGTTCATTGCATTAGTCACTACATGCAAAATGGTTGAACACGTTATCAAAAATCAAAGTTAAAATACTTTATTCATATCCTTTGCCTACAAGTATATAGCTAAATGAAATGTTGTTTCTTAAGGACCATAAACAAAGTAAGAATAGACCACAACAACATCACAATAGCTCATACAATACCAGTAAACTGTAACAATACACAGTGAGCAGTAATATACACTCACCTAAAGGATTATTAGGAACACCTGTTCAATTTCTCATTAATGCAATTATCTAATCAACCAATCACATGGCAGTTGCTTCAATGCATTTAGGGGTGTGGTCCTGGTCAAGACAATCTCCTGAACTCCAAACTGAATGTCAGAATGGGAAAGAAAGGTGATTTAAGCAATTTTGAGCGTGGCATGGTTGTTGGTGCCAGACGGGCCGGTCTGAGTATTTCACAATCTGCTCAGTTACTGGGATTTTCACGCACAACCATTTCTAGGGTTTACAAAGAATGGTGTGAAAAGGGAAATACATCCCGTATGCGGCAGTCCTGTGGGCGAAAATGCCTTGTTGATGCTAGAGGTCAGAGGAGAATGGGCCGCCTGATTCAAGCTGATAGAAGAGCAACTTTGACTGAAATAACCACTCATTACAACCGAGGTATGCAGCAAAGCATTTGTGAAGCCACAACACGCACAACCTTGAGGCGGATGGGCTACAACAGCAGAAGACCCCACCGGGTACCACTCATCTCCACTACAAATAGGAAAAAGAGGCTACAATTTGCAAGAGCTCACCAAAATTGGACAGTTGAAGACTGGAAAAATGTTTCCCGGTCTGATGAGTCTCGATTTCTGTTGAGACATAAACAGAATGAGAACATGGATCCATCATGCCTTGTTACCACTGAGCAGGCTGGTGGTGGTGGTGTAATGGTGTGGGGGATGTTTTCTTGGCACACTTTAGGCCCCTTAGTGCCAATTGGGCATCGTTTAAATGCCACGGCCTACCTGAGCATTGTTTCTGACCATGTCCATCCCTTTATGGCCACCATGTACCCATCCTCTGATGGCTACTTCCAGCAGGATAATGCACCATGTCACAAAGCTCCAATCATTTCAAATTGGTTTCTTGAACATGACAATGAGTTCACTGTACTAAAATGGCCCCCACACTCACCAGATCTCAACCCAATAGAGCATCTTTGGGATGTGGTGGAACGGGAGCTTCGTGCCCTGGATGTGCATCCCACAAATCTCCATCAACTGCAAGATGCTATCCTATCAATATGGGCCAACATTTCTAAAGAACGCTTTCAGCACCTTGTTGAATCAATGCCACGTAGAATTAAAGCAGTTCTGAAGGCGAAAGGGGGTCAAACACAGTATTAGTATGGTGTTCCTAATAATCCTTTAGGTGAGTGTATATAGATAGACATTCTATACATGTCTATTAGAATTTTTTTTGTAAATGTGTAAACCTTAATTGATGAAGATATCTGTTGTGATGTGGAAGGGAATCTGGGATACAAAAGACCGGAACATCAGCCAAAGGGTTGTATCCCATGCAGCATTCCTGTCTCTTTCTTTACTGTATTACAATGACATGCTCTGTTAACAAATTACAGTACGAACAGTAAAAGCATAGCTGTGATTCCTGTCCTCTCTCCTGCTAACTTTGTACTGGTGAAAGTGATATATGCCATACAAAAAAAATGCAGCCTTGTGCATTTTCAATCATTGTCATAAAAATCTTAGCCAAAATGTACATCAGAAAATATTTACAGAGTACACTGTTATATTGACAAGATGGCTAAACATTTTGACTTGCTTGTTCATAAACAAGACACAAGGACTTGTTGCTCTGATGGCACTGACAAGTTCAATGACATAAAGATTTGCTTTTGAGAGATAGACTAAGGATTTTGAGCAAGTTATGGGCTTTTGCAGGTAAACCACTGTGTTGTGCTGTTTGTACTACCTGTTTTGAGAAATGCACTTACTGTTTTGCTAATGTTCAGGATGATTTGAGAAATGCACCAAAGTGACTGGGAAAAACTGTATTTTAGCGTCCAATGAAAAGATTTCTCAATGAGATGCTGCTGAAGCATAGTGTTTCTACTACCCACTGATTACTATACAAAAATACAACTTTTTTCACTGATTTTGGTGAAACTGGATCATATTTGATGGAGAAATATTAGTAATATGGAGTAAATATATTCTAGTTTTCTCTCAGATGTCCCCCTGCTGCTCTGCCTCAAAGCTGTGATTTAGTATAAACCCTTTTTATACTCTGCTCAAAGCCCTTTCTGACATGATACCATGGGCTAAGCAAGGGAAGCTGGTAAAGCACATACTAACACATTTTATACACTTCAATCAAAAATAAACCACAAATTTATATGGGGGATGAGGGGCCTGTGTCCCAGTAGAGCACTATGTCTAGCAACGTCCCTGCAGTACAGTTAAAATACATGTTTATGTAAATAAAGATTGACAAGAGAAGGAAACACCCTTTCAGTAAGTAATGCATATGCTGCCCGCTGTTCCTCCACCCAGCATCGTGGTTCTGGAAGTACTGGGTGTTGTGTGCAACAGCTCCACCCCTGGCTGCCATTTTGTTTGTCCTTGCCAACACAGAAACCCAACAGGAAGTGATCTCACTGCCTTATACAAACAAGAGACAGTTTTTCCATCTGCTCTGCTCTCCCTCTCTTTGGGATCTTGTGGTTGAATTTTGCTGTGCAAATATAAACTGGTTGTTCAGCTTTACCTTAACTCACACTCCTACCTTAACCATGATGACCTAAACTTCCTGTTCTAACCAGGATGGAATACACGCACATTCAAAGCTGTGAAGTGTATTTTATGTGTCATCCTTTCTCCCGTGTAATATCATAAACATGCCAAGGAGATCTTCTTTTTACAGCATGTAAAATCATTAGAAAAAGGTTGCATTGTGACAAATAGAGCTCTCAATAGCATGGCTGTGATAATAACAAAAATCATTCAAGAAATGATTAGCCTAGTGTAGTTTTATTTTGGGCCACAAGATGGCAGCATATATAGCCTATGGGTGGGGAAACTTGTTGCCTTGGAAAATGAGTCTCAAAACAGGAGGAGTCGGGCTGAGGAGTGAGGGAATGGGGAAAAGATGAGAAGAAAGTACAGAAAATGTGTGTCTGAGTCTGTCATGCTGTCCCAGCAGAAGAGAAATGTATCCATCCAGTGTCCAGAAAGTAGGACCTCTCTCCGTCATACTCTCCCTTCTCTCCCTCTGTCTCCCTCTCTCCCTCCATGCTGACACTCTCCCCCTCTCTCTTCTCTTGTCAGACAGACAGATGAGGTTTTCCAGTCAACCTGCAGACAGATGTGGGAGCTGCAGCTGTTCTTAGCATATGAGGAAGCTGGAACGATCAGCCTGGAACCAGACGGCAGCAGCATGCCACCTTAACCAGCGCTAAGCTGGCCACGTAAGTACGCTACACTACATGCACATGCCTGTCATATGGTAAACATACAGAACATGTGTGCTACTGAAATATCATTCGGTATAGATGCTGTGAATGGAGATGGTTGTGCTTTTTATGGTCAAACTATAATGGGTGGCCCCAAGCTGGCCTTACTGTTTAATATCAGCTATACGTTTAGTGCGGGAAATGATTCCGTTTTTTCATAGAAACATGGTCGCCAAAGTCACAGAAAAACCTAGAGAGTGGTGATGTAATCTGTCAGCCCAAACCACACATTCTGGTTCCATTGTCTGATGAAAGGACCAGAGCTGTTACTCCTGCCTATTTCAATTACATTTTTTAAGTGTATGTATTTCTTTGAAAACAACAACACTACTGCTGGTTTCATAATATTTTTAGAATTCTCAAAGACTGCCTGGATAAAAATATAATCTAAATATAATATAATGTGTATAGTGAATACCTTTTACCAATAATTCTGGCAATATTCTATATTTTTCTTTATGTCAATAAATTCCATGAAAAGCCCCAAACCAACATTAAATTGGTCCTATTAGTTAAGTGTAAGTGTGCCACCCAGCTCTATACTGTCCTGAGTCTATAAATCCTCACTAGAGCTGCTGCTTAATCTGCCTCTGAAAATAGTCCCAAATTCACTGTTTGAGTACATTTTGCTAAAAACTGAAGAGGCCAGCTGGAAATTACTGAGTCATTTTAAAATATTTAACTATACCAATTATGTGTCCTTTTTGACTCAGTGATTATTTAAAGGAGCCATGATCAACATTATTATGATAAGCTTGTATCAAATGATGATGTGAAAGGGGTCACTTGTAGTGATGAACCTGAATCTGCAGCTCGCCTCAGCTATACGGAGCTTTACAGTGAGTTGCACACTACCACAGTACACAGACAAAATTAAAGAGGCTGGTGAACAGAGTGGAACATTAAGCAGCTAAAGAGCCAGATATTTTCCTCAGGAGCTGGTAGAGGCCAAAAACAGAGCTGAAAGAGAAGGCAGAACAGCCACCAGAGTCGGTGGTTCAGTATCTCACCCAAGGACACTGACACGCAGCCTGGAGGAGCCGGGGGATTGAACCGCTGATTAACAGGCAACCCGCTCTACCTCCTGAGCCACAGCCATAGTTGGTACAAAGAAAGTAGACGTAGCCACTGTGATATCACCCATTGGTTTGTCGCCTTTAGGCATTTTGTCTGGCGCCATCTTGTTTTTTTGGTACCAGAAGTGACCATATTTGGTTGAGATGGTGGATCTAGCTAGCTTGGTTAGTAAGGTGCACCTGTTATTCACGTCCACTGTGAAATTTATTGGGATACTTATTTCAGCTATCAAAAAGACAAAATGTACTTACCTGAAAAAATAAACAGCTATCTTTTAGTTCAACTGAATGCTGAAGAAGACATTTATAGGCAACCAAAATATTACAGTTAACTTGTCAAGTGAAAACACACTGTCAAAGGGTTAGGGTTAGGGAAAAAAAAAAGTTAAATATCCACAGTGCAGCAGGTAAAGGATACCTCTATCCTAATTGAAAGGTTGCCATGGTAGCGATTTGTCAATCACAAATCATTCCCTGCTTTCTGGTCTATTTTCCTCTTAATGGGACCATAATTCACTAAATGAACATTGTGCTGTGTTGAAGAAGACTTGAAGCCAGAGACCATAAACTAATTAGGAAATGATGTTTACTGAGGTACTAAGTCAATCGAGATGTAGGTCATTCTCTCATACACTTCTGTACAGTCTGACTACTTCTTGTAACCAGTGGAGTCGCCCCCTGCTGGCTGTTATAAAGAATGCGGGTTTTAGGCACTTCTGCATTGGCTTCACTTTTTATTACATTAATTCATTCATCTGACGCTTTTATCCAAAGCAACTTATAATTGCTATATATGTTGCACGCCTCTGGAGCAACTAGGGGTTAAGTGTCTTGCTCACAATGGGGATTTGAACCAAGGTCTCTCCCTGGGCTGTGGCCCAGGAGGAAGAGCGGGTTATCTGTTAATTGGAAGGTTGGCGGTTCAGTCCCCGGCTCCTCCAGGCTGCGTGCCGAAGTGTCCTTGATACTGAACCCAGATTTGGCCCTGGTGGATTTGGCGCCAGTGTATGAATGTGTGTGAATGTTAGTTTCTGTTTGAGCACTTAGGCTCAGTGTGTAAATGGTGAACATTTACCAAAGGCATGTGTCTTATCCACTGCGCCATCACCACCCCAGACCTGGAGGGTCCTCCTTGATTGTACCTGATCTGAAGCACCTGCCACATGAATAAATGTACTTAAATGTAACTTGTTTCGGCTGCCCCCAAGAGGACAAATAAAGTATTGGAGGTTTAAGGAAATGAAACTTTTTGCATTCTCTACGAGAGTTAAACGAGAGGGCTGAGACCTCTCTTGTGTGTGTGTGTTAACTGAGCTAGACTGGGTTGGCAAGTAGCTTAGCTCAGCAGTAAGAGTAAAAGCAGGGCAAACGGAAACAGCAGCCCAGCTCTCTCCAAAGTTAAAAACGCATGTACCAACCTCCAAAGCTCACATCTAAAGCTGATGATACACGGGGCAACTTTTTTGAGCAATGTTGCTGGGCAATCTTGCTAGTGGCAAGTCTGACTATGTTTTTAACAGATAGCGGCGGTGCGGGGCGGATGGCGGAGGAAGGGGATTACGGTAATAATCTTTACTTATTACCATTGACGGCAACGTTGCCCTGCACGATTGCTCTAGAACTTGCTCTGTGTATCATCAGCTTAAGTGATGTAAGGGATGTGTGGGTGCTGTGCTCCCGGTCCAAGCCTTCCTGCCCCAACAATCAGTATAAAAAATATATAAAATATTATAGGGAACCACCTGGAAAGCTCATGCTAGTTGCTGTAGTGAACAGTAGGCAACTACATGGCACTAAAAAATGACATTGACTGGAAGAGGTAGGGTGTGCTGCTCCAGGGGCCTGGGTTACTGTGGTACCCTTAACAGTCCTACCTCCACATCTCTGGTTCTGTTTATCCGTTCACCCTGTAATTCTTTGCAGCTCTTTGGCTATGTGCTGGGCTGGAAACCTCACTGTGATGACAAGACTCCAGGAAGTCCTAGCTAACTGCTGTTGTTGTCTGACAAGAAATAGTAGCTGTTTTCACATACCTGTTTGTGTACAGATTAAACAAATGAGATAAAAGAGTGAGCTTCAGAGATGCTGGATGGGTACAGCATTTTTGAATGAGCCAGACTGTTTTCCCCAGTCCCCAGTCAATCACATTAGTCCTCCAGCTCTGTACTTTATTGATCTTTTCATCTTACTCCTGGAAAGATCTCAGTTGGAATTTTTGGGTTGAGGTAGAATGCCACAGATTGGGCAGGGAAGCACTGAGAGACTGACTGACAAATTGTTTTAACTTTTTATTTGGATTTGTTGACAAAAAGGAACCTTATCCTTTAAGTACACGACTTACACTACAGTAGATGTTCTTGTGTACTTGTGCAGGACCTTGGCGCTGTGTCATTGAATATTTTAGAGAAATGGGAAGCAGGAAGAGACCACAAGACAGAGCTCAGGGGTCGAATGAGCACATGATGTATTCTAAATGGGTTTATATTTAAAGTTCATTTTAAAAGATGTCAACCATAGTATTCTAAACAGTATAATATAATAAGTCATACATTTCAGAACACTTGGGTTAAAAAAAAGTTTAAATGCCATTTGCCATTTTTGGAGTGAAACCCCTGGATTTTGTCTGTAGTCATGTGTGGAGCTGCAGCTGTTCAGAGAGAGGGAGAGGAGTGAGACACTGAAAAAAGATGGGTGACATAGAAGAAGAGAGGCACTGTGAGTAAGAGGTGGAGAGAGAGGAAGGGAGGATTAGGGTGGGTGCCTGCGGTGGAGCATGATGTCAGAGGAATGCGTTAAGCCTCTCCTTTAACAAACTGGAGCCGTGTGGAGCGCCAGCCGCCTCGCGCTCTTTCTCACGCAGAAATACACACAAAACACTTTCACCCTGCATAACTCTAACTAACTTTCTTCTTTCACTTTCTGACTGGATTTTTATATAGTGTATACGCACTGTATACATACAGTATGTGTATACATACACACACATGCACACACACTCTTGCTTTCACACACAGGACCTGAGTCAAAAACGTTTTGATTGTATTACACTAAATAATTAAATTTAACTGCATACATGCAATATTAATAATATCACACTCACATTGTCATTTAAGTATTGTGGAATGTGTTTTCAGTGGTCGATTTTCATCTTTGTACGGCCCTCCCTCCCAGCATCCGGTCCTGCAGCTGGAGCTTATTGCATGGATTACAGAGCTGGAGAAAAGTAAGGAGAGACGGGAAAAGAAAGGGAGTGATGGAGAGAGCGAGGACAGACAAATGGAAAAAGAGAGAAAGTGGCTATTAAAATTGCGTGGAAGAGTCAGATGCTGGGAACAGCTGGAAAGATGATGACTAATATTAGCAGTGAGGTAAGGCAATGGAAGATGGAGAGGTTAGGCTGTGTGTATGGAGGACAGCTGCTACTGTAAACCAACCACAGTGAAGTCAAGTTTATTTATAGCAGCATAGTCATGACACCAAAAGGGGAACTTTGATGCCAAATTGTAGTTTAACCCATTAACATCCAAACATCATTAAATTCATTTCCACATGTCGCTATTTTCCAAGTTACTGTAGCTGTCAGATAGCAATGAAGCTTTAGTCACACACATTCACACACTGACAGGGGTGTAGCTAAAAGTTCTGGGCCCTACATACAAGCAGTCTCTGTGGGCCACGTTACTCTCTTGGTCCCTGTCTCTCCCACATCTTTTGAAAAATGCTAACATCTGTAGTCACTAATGAACTATATAAATACATATATAAATAGGGAAACAAAACAAATAATTCAACTTGCCGGTGACAATTCATAACCATAAAAATATAGCTTAAGTCACTTTTTGCAATGCCCATTTGTTTCTTCTGTATTTAAATTGCACTGCATATTTTCTTATTGTGCAAATGAACCTTTCTCAAAGCATTTTCATTTGTTAGGTAACATTTTTTGTTGCAAGCAATTTTCCAGAACATTTTAAACAAATGCTTTCAAAAAGTGATGGAGACAAAATTATCCAATTCAAAATATGGTGGCCTGCTAGTTGTGATTGTTCTCATCTTTCTTTTGAAATAAATTAGTTGGCAGTTGTTTTCCTTCACTTCGCTTTCTTTCTTTTCATTTTTGGTACCTTGATTTCCCTTCTTAGGGACGGAAATGACTGTTTCAAGGCATGTTGATGCTCCAGTCACAGTCACTCTGCTCTATTAAACCATTTAGAGAGGAATCTTAGTGCTGGGCAGATTAAACCACTTTACGTCTTTTGGAAGGTATTAGAGGGCCCTCAGAGCCACCACTATTTTTGAAACTACTTCCTTAGAAATAAAACACTGCAAACCCCCCCCCCCCCTTTGACTCACAGAAACAGAAAATGTAAATGCGCCTTTAAAGTCTTTTCGACAACTCAAAGCGCTTTTACACTACATCTGCATTTAACATTCATTCACTGAGCCTAAGTGCTCAAACAGAAATTAACATTCACACACATTCATACACTGGTGGAACAGCCACCAGGGGCAATTCGGGGTTCACTATCTTGCCCAAGGACACTTCAACATGCAGCTTGGAGGAGACGGGGAATGAACCGCCAAACTTCTGATTAATGGGCAATCATGTCATGTGTGTTTTTGTGAACGGCGATCTATTTCAAGTAGCGGCTGTTTAAAAACGATATAATATTCTTTGTGTGGTTCATCAACACTGGTGAAGCTGGGGCTCCGTTTCTTCAGCAAGTTTTCCTTCTGCCACTACACACATACACGCTACGCCTACACATGCGCACTGACAACCCAGGGTTAGGGTTAATTTTGGATTTATTCACACAATTTAAAAAAAAATATTAGAAGTTTATTTACAACATTTAACGCTGAAATGTAGATTGTAATAGGGTGTATATTAACTTTTTTGGAGAATAGTTCTATGTAAAATCAGATGTTGAGCACCCACATATCGCCAAAATGGCATGATCCTTGTTTTGCTGCAAAGCTTCAACTGTGAGATATAAAGATTAATTTGTTACAAATTGATATTGAAACTCTTGCTCCAGTCTAGGTTGTGAAGCTTGTCCAGGAACATGTACAGCTGAACTGAAACCCTTTGCTTTTGATTTGCTAGTAGTTCTTACCCAGGTACTGCACAGATGCAACTCCCAACACAGATCAAATAGAAGTGAGATGCTTCACTCTGTAGCTAAACCAGTGTTCAACACACAGGATGAAAAGAGGAGCTGCAGTAATGTGCAGTATGACAAATAATGAAACCATGTAAACCTGTTGTGGTACAACCATAAATAAGATTTTGAACCTGAAAAATTAGAATAATATGTTCTCTTTAAGAAAACTGCCAATATGCTTTTTTATCATGGTTCTCATGTCAGACATCTATGTCAGATTTGATTTAAACTCACCAGAATCATAATCTGTGCTGTTATCTGTACATAAGAAGAAAAAACTAAAACAAGTTTTCCTTTGTTGTAAATTCTTGTAACTGTGGGTTGTTCGGGTTTATTTTCTTCATTACATTATCAAGTACCACATCAAAAGTTGAAACTAGTTGAAACTCTACCCCTTCTGGGAAAAGATCTTACAATGAAATCTGGAATAAAGTCAGGGAACATTTCTATAAATAATGTCCCATGTGGCTGGTAAACAGGCTGTAGTGAAAGGGCAAGTGTTTCTGGGAGAAACAAAGTGTAGAGACACCTCAAACTGAATAAAATATAAAATTTGTGTACCTAGCCTTGTAAACCCACTAATTATTTTTGGATATATCCCAACTGTCTACAGTCTACTTTCACAAGGCTAATATGAGTCGCATCCCACACAGCATCCAAATACACACTTTAGGGTACAGTACATAATATTACATAATGCATCACACCTAGATGTTTGGCTTTTTTCTTACTTAATGTGCCATCCTGTGCAGTAGTACATTGTATTTGGCCATTCTTTACACTGAAGAGCAGTATGATTAATCAGAAGCTGTATTCACTAACTGGACATTCATTTCTTTCACTTCAGCTCTAATTCACTAAATACTCTTCAGGGTCTGGGTTTAGCTTGTGATGAGCGGCTACAATGGTGAAGAAGAGTAATTAAACAATATTTAGTAGACATGTAGGAGAAGATTTAGATGTTTGACAGACTGCGAAAGTACATTCACATCTACACTACATCAACCTTTGCTCACCTTTTTCATAACTGTCTTTGTGCTAACCTGCCTATTCTCCTGGTTTGTCTTTGGTGAGGTGTTCTGCATCTTTAACACATCAGACTGCTTGGCTGAAACATGCATTGTAGAAAAAGGTCCAGTTTGTAAGTTTCAGTGACATGTAGTTGTGATCATATTTTTTATATATATATATATATATATATATATATACAAGCCTGTAGGAGAAGCTACGGTGGCTGACACGCTCTGTCCGCTCTTGTGCGTCTGATCCTCCATTTGTCCAAATTTCACGTCTCTTCTTACTTCTAACAAACCAGATGACCACTACTACAACTACTACTACTACTTTTTCTTCTTCATACGTATTCAACGTAGTGACGTAGGGCTACTGTAGAAACATGGTGGGGCAACATGGTGACTTCCATGTAATGGCAGTGTATGTGGATATAAATGTCTCATTCTAAGGTAATAAAAACATAATGGTTCATTATGTAAGGTCTTTATACACCACTTAAAACATAGTTATGGATCTTATATTATCAGTAAAGTCTAAGAAGCCAGTGCGAATATAAGGACCTAAAATATGTAGGTACCAAATGCATCACGTACACTTTTTTCTAGACCAGTTATAAGACAATCAAGTACTCTTTGTCTAACTTTAGCACTGGAAGGTCCTCCTCTCTCAAAGAAAAAGAAGAGCGGGGAAAAGTTGACTCTGAAAGTCAAGACTGCTTATTCAGTCCACTTTCCACCCTGCCAGAGTAGGGAAATAAAGAGGCCAGTGTTTCAGTATTTCTGAACCCAGCACATTTCACAGGACCTTTTATAAGCAGCGGTATGGCACCCGCAGTAGCCCGGGGCCTGGAAGGACCTTTACCAGTAAAGTTGGAGTGCAAAAAACAAGTGGCTCAATTATGTGTGTGAAACCAGGGCTGGAAAGGAAATAAAGCACTGAATTCAGTCGGCTGTTGGTCTGAAGCTGTTCTCCACATGCAAAAATACAAATGCAAAGCAGAAGCAAGTTACTACATGGCACAGAACGAGAAAGAGTCTCTTTGTGTGTCATGCTCTAAGTGAAGTGCTGGAGTGAGTCGTAAAGGGGTGAGTAAACGTCTGATACGGTTAGTTAGTGTCAGGATCTAAATTCACAGTGCTGTGAGGACTGTTAGAACTTCTACCCCTGTATGTCTGTACAGCTTTTATTCAGTGTATATAGACATGATGACTTTTCTCCTCTCTGTTTACAGCTTCGTCCATCAATCCTCAATCCAGTCTCTCCACATGGTGAAGATGTAGTCTGTTTGATCTCTATGGAGATGTCTCTAAACACAGACTCCTCTGCCTCGTTGCCATGGTCACTGTGGTTGCTGTTCTTCCTGACCCCCATCACCCAGACAACAAGCTCTGCCCCCACATCTGAAACTTCTCTGCCATTCAATACCACGCTATTGTTCGACAGTGGCACGCCGGGCTACAACCTACGGAACTGCAGCTGCTCTAAACCCGTCTGGGACTGCAACGAGGCTCTGGCCAACTCGCTGTGCAGATGCCACACAGTTTTGCGCTCCGCTCTGCCCACTGCTGGGCTCAGAGAGCCAGGACGACTCACTGTCTGGGTGAAGGAGCTCTGGGTGCTGGAAGAGCTGCTAAACAGGAGCATGGTTGGGCATTTGCGGTTGTCATTTTGTGGAATAAAACCAATGGACAGTCAGTACCTGGCTTTGCAAGGTTTGCGTACCCTAAGGATCCACAGCGCAGCACCAGAAGCTACTTACCCCAACCAGGAGATTACAATTTCCCCTGCAGCAGGGATTGCAGTGGAGCTAGAGGCCCTCTCCTTTGACTTCTCCTCCTCTTTCCACGTGACCTTCCTGGATGTAGCAGTGCTCAACGGGCTCTCTGCCCTAAAGGCATACAGTGTGGTGGGACCACCTGCTCACAACCTCTCCCAGACCTTCCCCCACCTGGCTTTGCCCCTTGCTACGCCATACTCTGCTGCTCCTGATGACCCCATTGACCCCAGTGAGCAGGCTGCAGAGCCTCTGCAGAACCTGCTTATCACGTTTGTCTACTAACAACAACACATCCTCATTAGGGCAGTACAAATGACAAATGATGTGCAGGAATTATACACAACAGAGCTGGATGTTTCTTTGTTCTCCTTTTGCAAAGGAAAAGTTGCACATCTGACATATCTGTGGAATAAACTTCTTTCTGACTAGCTGCTGTCATTCTGGCCTAAATGTGGCTTTGAACAGGAAAGAAGAAAAACCTCTTTACCTTACCCTGATGCCTTTTCTTCAATGAGACTACAGACTTCAGACAGAACATGTGTGCTGAACTCCTGCTGGTGTTTTCCCATCCCTGAGCGCAGATATAGACACAATGTTTGAGAATGTTTGCCACAGCATATTTTGCGAATCATTCCAAAACAGTGAATGATGATTTGCAAACCAGAAAGCGAAGGGTCAACGCCTGCTCCTTACATTACAACTGATTTGCTGCAGTTGTTGGAGATGTTGCTTGTACAAATATTCTGGAACTGCTGCACATACCGTTGTTCCACTGTTACATGTAACTCACATATGGAGTACATAGTGACTTCCAAATTCACTAGTCTGCAGATGTGCTCGTAAACACTCTACGTGCACAATTAAAACAGCAGGTAGCTGGAAGCCACACAGGCTATGGTTACACTTGACTTTTCAAATTGATTTTTGAGATCTGTGTGCCTACATCTGGCCCTGAAAACATGTGGCTTCTGTGGGTTGTTTCAACATCCTTCCATCTTCCACCTTTCACATTTGATCCAGAAGATGTGACAGTACTAATGTGAGGACAAGCTGTTTATTGCATATCAGATGACACACAGCAGTTTATTGTGTGATGAGTGTAACCGCAGCCACTGTGACAGACAGACAGCGATCTGGTACGCCATCTGCAAGAACTGTATTCAGAACAGAGAGGGATGACAGGTCCCAGATCCCGCTCCCAGCTGCCAAGTGGGTGTTAGCTCTTCCCCCATCCAGGTGCTGTCAGATATATCAGGGCAGCTGGACAGGATGAACAGTAGGGAGGAGGCCTTTGACTAGACTGGCCACTTCAAACTAATGCAGATGTTTGTTGACATTTACATGTAGACGGGTGACAAAATACGGAGAAACATAACAAATGCAGACTTCCTGATGAGTCTAAAAATGATGGACCAATGTATAGACAGCACTAACCACCACCATCATCAGAACACCAAATGAGGGAATATCTTTTGGGAGAATGACGGTCAATCCACAAGTGACTTGGAGAGTCTATTTAGAAGCTCTGAAGCTAGGCGTGGCACTTGCTAATGAACAACATTAGATGAATTAGAGGAAAAAGGTAGCAAGTGAACCTTGAGATTATTTAGTCACATAAACTGGTCCCACTGTCAAGAATGAGCCTAACATATGACACCTTACTATGTTTAGTTTCTAAAGTTTTTTCCTGTTAATTTGTCACCTATCTTTGCATGAAGCAGCTATGGCCACTAAACATTCTTGGTCTAGATTCCAGGACAGGTCAAACCAGATTACACTTAAATTTGGGGCCCAGTGGTGCCAGTCCTGGTTAGCATTGTTAAGGTGAAGGACTGTTGTTTTCTATTAGGGTAATGAACACAGCTGTTTGCTCTGCACTTTTTACTTAAAGCTGGGTTGGCAATTTATTTCAGACACATTTCTGTTATATTTGTTGATCTTTACATCCCGACAGCAATCAATAAATCAAATACTCTGACACAAAAGTGACTGTAATGAGCACAGCCAATCATTTCATTGGGAGTGGATGAATTGACTGCAACAATAGCACAAAGAGCAAGGTCTCACAGCAAGAAGGTTGTCGGTTCAATCCCTCGTTGCCCTGGCCTTTCTATGCAGAGTTTGCATGTTCTCCGCATGGGTTCTCTCCAGGTGCTCCAGCTTCCTCCTACCGTCCAAAGACATGCAGGCTAGGTGTTAATTGGTGTCTCTAAATTGCCCTTAGGTGTGAATGTGAGTTTGACTGGTTGTTCATCTATGTTCGGCCCTGCAATGGACGGGCGGTTTCTTTTGATAATACGCACCACTAAAGCACAATTAAAGCCTTAACGATTATGGTTCTAATGTTTACCCACTCTTATAGACTTTTCTTTCTGGCCCAGTGTCAAATCTATTTTTTATACCTTTAATATTTCACTTGATATTATGCTTACATGGTGTATATAGTATATAAGTTTGTGTTATATCAAATTATCAGACATTAGCTGACATACAGCAATGGCTAGGATTCCAGCATGGGCATACTGCTTTGCTTTTGGGACTGGAAAAAATGGATTCCATCCTAGCCTTTTTATTTCAGTTAATAATTAGACTGTTAATCCACCCCTTGATTATTGGGTGAAAATATGTCTACTCACTTGTAAATTAAATCTAAATTCTTTTAGGTTTCTGGGTTACTAAATCTGCTCTTTTAACAGCATTTCTATAGTTAGATTGCAACAGAGTCTATGTTGAAATAACTTACAGCACAGTCTCAATGCATGAGGTGCAAAGGGGGGGAGGCAAAGAGAGAAATTCCTGCTTCAGGGATCAATAGAGCATCATAAAAAAACAAGATGTACTGTGGCAGCTGACTCCAGTGAACACTGGCTGGAACCAATCCAGAGTGGGATCAGAGTCACCAGAGCTGGACAATACTGTTGTCTCTGAGAGGGAGCTTTCAGTGTTAAGCTATTTTGTTGAAGAGATTTTAAGTAAATTATAATAAAACATGTCTGTTGTCAAGAGTTAAGGACAGCTGCCCACAGCAAAAAGGTAGGAGAAAAAACAAGTGAAAGACAAGGGTCGTGTCAGTCTGACGGAGAGGCGCAGTAGGCTGCAGTCTGCTGCTGCGTTTTTTCAGCTGGTCTTATTGAGTGCAGATGGCCTAATAAAACAAGTTGTTTTGAAACAGATTAAAATGGATGCCCAAAGAACAAGAGTCCCAGGATTAGGATCCCTCACACCAGCCAACGAATCTCACTTTGACTCTGTAGAGATGGTTGAGTTACGCAGTTATTAACCGACTTACAGCCTACTTGGCAGGGCCTAGTGAGGGAAGAAAGGGAAGTGAAAGAGAAATTTTCTCAGTATCGTGCTGGATGTGATTCACTTACTCTACAGCTCTTTGTCAGGATGGTTTGTTTTTGTTTCTGGATATTTATATGCAGTCACTTTAGAGAGGAGTTGGAGGAGAATTTTAATCAAAGTCAAAGTTGAACAACTCTCTCTCTCTGGTTTCATGCTCCCTTTCTCTTCCTGTTTCCAGCTCATATCCTGTGAGAGACTGTCATGAAGCTGCACAACACAATCCAGGGCCAGCACTTCTTTTCTGCAGATCATTGAAAGTCTCTGTGTGTCTGTGTAGTTGCTACAAAAACTACCTACTAAAGTCCATAGTTTCAGCAAAATAAATTCAGATTGCACCACCAAAGCTCACAATGCTCACAATACCTGTAAGGCCAAACTAAGCGGAGTTTCCCCACACAGACTTTGCAGGCTGTCCAGGTATATCAATGGCCACCAAAGTATAATTGCCAACCCATTTCAGCACTTTGCAGAGAAACATTATCTTGTATTATGTTAGAAGACATGGACACGGTGGATATTTTACAGCATCAGTGAACACACCTGTTGGTGCCGATGTCATTCAGCACCACTGTGGTCTCAATCGTTTCAGTAGGGAACGTCATTAACAACAAGCCACTGAAAACAGAACTGCAGGTGAAAAAATCCTTGTGTTTGTTATTTTGGCAACTTTGAAAAAATACTGCTGAAGAAGAAAGACAGGTGCAGGTGTGTGTGTCTGAAGGGACAAGTAAAGTGAGCAATTTAAATTAATTAGAATTAAACCTGGAAAATCCTGTAAACTGCTGCAGTATGGGAGAAAAATGGAAAATTTAATTTATTTAATAGTCAGTGTTTTATTATAAACATACAATTGAATTGGATGAATGGCCAGTACTTATACTGGTGCTAATATGGGTCCTAATAAAGAGTTTTCCATTAAAAAGAGTTACAAAAATGTTTTTAGAAAGACAGAAAAACACTTTTAATTGCCACTATGTTGCATTGCAACACACTTGAGACTAGAGATTAGCCACTGTGTAAAAAGGTGATTAGAAAAAAGTTGGGAGATTTTTTATTCACTTCAGTGTTATTCTTTTCTGGGACATTATGACCATCTAGTGGCCATTAAAGTGCAGTTACAGGAGCTTTATTTCAGCCCGGCCGTGGTGACTTAAACTTATTTTCATCAGTTGACAATAATTTAACGACCGTACTGTGTTAGTAGTTCTTTCTTTAGTTTGATGTATTCTTCTTTTGTTCTTTCCTACCCTGTGCCTGTCTGGCAGGGCTGCATCCTTGCACTGAATACATTTTCTTTCTGTGCTTTTAACACATGGATATGAAAACAGGATGGTGACTATAACGCCTAGAAACACCCATGCCCTTCTTCTGAAACAAGACTGAACTGGGGCTTTCTTTGTTGAATGGAAACATATTTCATTATGCAACAAGCTGAGATGAATTTCTCTGGAATTGCTGTGAGTGGTTAAGAAAATACAACCAGCACATGCCAGGTCAATTTGCTCTGTGTATATAAAAGAGTTGGTACTGAAAGCTTCAAAGATTTCTCGACACCTTCAGCACATCTTTTGTTGCCTTTAAGCCAACATTCACAACCAGTATTCAGCTCAGGAATGGAGTCCATCCATTACAGTGCACAAATTGCTCCTACCAAGCATTCTACCTTTAGTCACTCCCATCTGGTGAACGGGGTGATTACACACCTCCAAAAGACACCTTTTAATGGTTTTCAGACAGGATGTTTAAAACAGGCCATGGGACTTTGTGCTTATGCTCCCATCAGCACACATCTGACAGTCTTAAAACGTTTGGGACATTCCACCAAAAAAAGGGTGAAAATGAGATCACTGGGTTTTTTGGGTTTGACATCACTCTCTTGTGTTAGAGCCTCAACTTCCTTTTCTTTCTCTTCTCTCTTGATCTTCATTACAGGATAATAGCACATCATCAGGGAATGTAATTATTCAAATGTAATTTGTTATGATTCTGTGTAATCCATGGCTATGTGCCTTAAACTTTGTACACATTGCAGATCAGCATTTTTACAATCTTTGACATGTTCAGCAACTCATGCGTAAATCATGTACTGCTTAAGAAACAGATTGTGTATTTGGAAACGACTTGGAAGATTTGACTTGTAGATAATTTGTCTATTTAAAGGGATACTTTGTGATTTTTATCCAAAACACTTTTTGTTGAATTGAGCGAATATTTCCTTATGGAGCGCTAGCTCTCAGTTGTTTGTGTGCTCCGAAAAGAAATCCGGTTTTCTTACATAGTCCTTGGCCTGTCAATAGATCCCAAACAAAGTTGCTCAGAGCAAGCAGTCAGCAAAACCAAAACATTCCAGTCAAACAGATGGCGTTCGTGCGCGTTCACAAGTGTTCGATGTAGGGAGGGAGCTGTTGGAGAGAGGTGGTTAAACCGGCACATACTGAGCGTTCTGTGAGGAAGGAGATGGCCAAGAAAAAAGTAAAAGGCCTGAAGTTTATAAAGAGATAAAGAAATCATATGACAAGGCAAGGGCAAATACCGGTGTGAACATCGGTGCAGCATTTCAACACTGGAGAACCCTCTGAGCCATGAATACAGACCGACACAGAGTTTGCTGTGTTTCTGCTCGACAGGTGAGTCCGTTTGCTAACGTTTGTGATGTCTGATCCCAACTTGTTAGCAATGAAACGTAAATTACAGTGGATGTATTATCTTGCCAACTTGAAATATTTCTACTTACAGCAGAACTGAAATTATTTCCCTTAGAATTAGCCTACATGTTTTATATAACATCAGCGTTACTTATATGCTCTGATGGAATTACGCCACAGTAAAGTAAAAAAAAAAATCTAAATAACGTTTAGATTAACCCCGGCGAGATATTTTTACAATAAAGCAATCGCTACACATCTGACTGACGGTGACGTTGGAATATAAATTACGAGTAACTATTACTTGCGGTAATCCTAACGTTACATAAACTAGACTATATGGCTTCGACGTTGGTACGTATATGTTACTTCAATATATAGACTATTGAAATATTGACAGGCTTGTTATTGAGGCTTAGCTAGGGCCAGCAGATGCTGCAGATTCTGCCATAGCGGCGATACTAGCTGCATGTGGTCGCCATGGAAAAAGGATCACCTTCAGAAGTTCTGGGGTTTTGGGGTGACATCAAATATCAACGATCAGTATTGCGGCGCAAACCAGACCCACCAAAACAACTAAAACCCCGCAGCAGGCTGAAACATGAGGATTTACACTGAAGACGCGTCACGCTGAAAGTTTTTCCCCATGCTCACCCTGCAGCCATGATCAACCCAAGCTTCCCCACAGGTGAGCACGCACACACACATATTAATACAGACACCACGCCCCTGGTCACACCCACAGTAACCGATGACGTCACGGTGCGCGTGCATGTACACTACAGTGCAAAGAAAAGAGAGGAAACCCAAACAAACCCAGTGTATGGCTCCTACATTCCGGCCCCCAGTTATTTTATAGTAATAATTGACCACCACTACAACCCTCTTGTGGGAGACAAACACCAGTTAGAAGTGAAATGTGAAATGTTAGTCCTTTAAAAAGGTCCTGTTAATGTAAAAGTTCAAGTCTGCTATATCCAAGGATCTTCACTGCTCCTCTGCTTCCTGCAGAAGGCAGACTTTGGTTATTGGCCTTGTCAGATAGCTGGTTTTAGTTTTAATCCGTACACTTCGCACCAGTCCATTTTTGTCCGGAACAGTATCCACAATTCTTCCTATAGTCCAAGCATTACGAGGTGCCATCTCATCCACTAGCACCACAAGATCTCCTGGGACAAAGTTTCTTTTGGCAGTATTCCACTTCTGGCGCTCCAGAAGTCCAGGAAGATATTCCTTCACCCAGCGCTTCCAGAACAAATCCGACATATACTGCACTTGTTTCCAGCGACGACGACTATAAACATCCTCCTTCTTGAACAATCAATTTCAATTTCAATTTATTTATATAGCGCAAAATCACAACAACATTTATCTCACAGCGCTTTTCATAAAAGAGCAGGTCTAGACCGTACTCTGTGATGATATTTACAGAAGCCCAACAGTTCCCACCAAGAGCAAGCACTAGGCGACAGAGGCAAGGAAAAACTTCCTTTTAAGAGGCAGAAACCTCGAGCAGAACCATGGCTCAGGGTGGGCGCCTCCACCGGTTGGGGGTGAAGGACAGAGAGAGGGAGAGAGAGAGAGAGAGAGAGCAGGAGAAGAATAGAGAGAAAAAGAGAGGGATGTAAGGAGAGAGAGAGGGGAGGGAGGCAGCCTACACAATATACACACAGAGGTACAGACAGTGAAGGTGATGTTGCTATAGACTAAATGAAAAATGGTACAGATATTTATAATAGTGTTAATGGTAACAATTGTAATGTTAATGATTATAATAACAATAATAACAATAAGACTAGCAACAATAGTCGTTGCAGCAGAGGGTGTCGAGCAGGAACACGGGGGCAGCAGGTGACCCGCAACCACAGAGTCAGACTCCACAGCTCCAGAGCCAGAAAACCTGCAGGAAGTGATAGGAGAGAGGAGAGAGACGAGAAAGCACAAGACTACCAGAAAGGGGAGAAGTTGTGTTAGTAACATGCAATAATGGGATGAGGTTGCATACAGAGGGAGAGAAAGTAGAGGAGAGAAGAGCTCAGTGCATCATGGGAAATCCCCCGGCAGTCTAGGCCTATAGCAGCATAACTAAGGGATGGTTCAGGACTCACCTGAGCCAGCCCTAACTATAAGCTTTATCAAAGAGGAAAGTCTTAAGCCTACTCTTAAATGTGGAGATGGTGTCTGCCTCCTGAACCCAAACTGGAACCTGGTTCCACAGGAGAGGAGCTTGATAGCTGAACGCTCTGGCTCCTAGTCTACTTCTGGAGACTCTAGGAACCACAAGTAACCCTGCATTCTGGGAGCGCAGTGCTCTGGTGGGGTAGTAAGGTACTATGAACTCTTTAAGATAAGATGGTGCCTGACCATTAAGAGCTTTGTAGGTAAGAAGAATGATTTTAAATTCTATTCTGGATTTTACTGGAAGCCAATGCAAAGAAGCTAAAACAGGAGAAATGTGATCTCTTTTCCTGGTTCCTGTCAGAACACGTGCTGCAGCATTCTGGATCAGCTGAAGAGTCTTAATGGACTTTTTCGAGCAGCCTGATAATAAGGAATTGCAGTAATCCAGCCTAGAAGTAACAAATGCATGGACTAGTTTTTCTGCATCATTTTTAGACAGGATGTTCCTGATTTTCGCAATATTACGTAGGTGAAAAAAGGCGGTCCTTGAAATGTGAGACTTAAACGACATGTCCTGATCAAAGATAACTCCAAGATTCCTCACAGTGGTGCTGGAGGCCAGGGCGATGCCATCAAGGGAAACTATATCTTTAGATAATGCGTCACGGAGGTGCTTAGGCCCCAGAGCAATAACTTCAGTTTTATCTGAGTTTAACATGAGAAAATTACAGGTCATCCAGGTTTTAACATCCTGAAGGCACATTTGAAGTTTAGCTAACTGATGAGTTTCATCTGGCTTGATCGATAGATATAACTGAGTATCATCTGCATAACAATGAAAGCTTATGGAATGTTTCCTGATAATATTGCCTAAAGGAAGCATATATAAAGTGAAGAGGATTGGTCCGAGGACAGATCCTTGAGGAACTCCATGACTAACTTTGGCATGCATGGAGGACTCATCGTTAACATGTACAAACTGAAATTGATCTGATAAATAGGACTTAAACCAGCTTAGAGCGGTTCCTTTAATGCCAATGAAATATTCCAGTCTCTGCAATAGGATCTGATGGTCAATGGTATCAAATGCAGCACTAAGATCTAATAAAACCAGTACAGAGACAAGTCCTTTGTCTGATGCAATAAGGAGGTCGTTAGTAATTTTCACCAGTGCTGTCTCTGTGCTATGATGAGCTCTAAATCCTGACTGAAAATCCTCAAATAAACTATTGCTCTGTAGAAAGTCACACAGCTGTTTAGCAACTGCTTTCTCCAGAACTTTAGAGAGAAATGGAAGGTTAGATATAGGTCTATAGTTGGCTAAAACATCCGGATCAAGTTTGGGCTTTTTCAGAAGAGGTTTAATTACAGCTACTTTAAAGTACTGTGGTACATAGCCTGTTGATAAAGATAGATTGATCATATCTAGTATAGAGGTGCTGACTAAGGGTAAAACATCTTTAAGCAGCCTAGTCGGGATGGGGTCTAAGAGGCAGGTTGATGGTTTAGATGAAGAAATGATTGAAGTTAGTTGGTAAAGATGAGGGAAGCAAAACAGTCTAAACATGTATCTGGTTCTACAGCTGTTTCTAAGGTTCCTGAGTTAAGAGATAAGTCGGTGCCAGTTGAGGGCAGGTCTTGGTGAATTTTGTCTCTAATAGCTAGAATTTTATCATTAAAGAAGCTCATGAAATCGTAACTACTGAGAGGGGAATACTTGGCTCAATAGAGCTGTGACTCTCTGTCAGCCTGGCTACAGTGCTGAAAAGAAACTTTGGGTTGTTCCTATTTTCCTCTATTAATGACGAGTAGTACACTGCTCTAGCATTACGGAGGGCCTTCCTATAAGTTTTAAGACTATCTTGCCAAATTAAACGAGAATTTTCCACTTTGGTGGAACGCCAATTCCTCTCAAGTTTCCGCGATATTTGCTTTAATTTGCGAGTTTCAGTATTATACCATGGAGCTAACCGTCTTTGTTTTAGTATTTTCTTTTTTAGAGGGGCTACAGAGTCGAGTGTCATTCGCAGCGAGCCTGCAGCACTATCAACAAGATGATCGATTTGGGAGGGACTGAAACTAGCATAGGAGTCCTCCGTTACTTTGTGACTAGATATTGTCACACTAAACAAGGCTTACATGAGTTTTAACTCCCACTCTTAACAAATAAACTATGTACAACTTACTACAGTCAAGATATCATTTTATCAGGACTTTGTGACTAGATATTGTATTTAGAGCTGATGGAATCGCATCCTTAAATTTAGCTACAGCACT